CGCTGTTCCGATTCTAACCGCTAACACTTTGTCGTGTTAGTAGCCACTAGGTCCCGCTCTACAGCTCCAAATCCCACGTGAACTCATGCCAATGGACTTAAAGGGGCAGTACGCCCTCACCCTCCGTGCGGACCATCTAGCAATACAAAAACCTCCCTGCCCCCACTTCACCTGGCTACATGTAGAAGACAAATAAAAAAACACAGAAACAACGACGAATCTTTCCGGCCATCTACTAAGGCGCCGTGGGATTAAACAACGCCGACAGTCAGGCACCTCTAGCAGCGTTACCGCTGCAGCAGCAGGAGAAGGTAACTCCAGCTCTGCAGACACCTCAGGCCTCGCCAGCACCAAACTCAACATCACAGTAACAATTGCCAAGTTTATCTGTAAAGACATGCGACCCTACAATGTGGTTGTAAACCCGGGGTTCTGTAAATTGATCCAAACATTGTGTAATTATTGTGTAATGTTTACATTGAAAATGGCACTTGATTCAAATAAAAGGTTAATATGGCGGCGGTCCCTGCCACCGCCATTCGACCTCTGCAGCTCATTCAGAATGCAGCAGCTCGACTGGTCTTCAACCTTCCGAAATTCTCCCACACTACTCCACTCCTCCGCTCTCTTCACTGGCTACCGGTGGCCGCCCGCATCCAGTTCAAAACATTGGTGCTCACGTACCATGCTGTGAATGGATCGGGTCCAGCTTACATCCAGGACATGGTCAAACCCTACATCCCAACCCGCACTCTCCGCTCTGCATCTGCAAAACTACTCGTCCCTCCCTCACTGAGAGCAAAACACTCGACTAGGTCTCGACTCTTCGCTGTCCTTGCGCCGAAATGGTGGAACGAGCTCTCTGAAGACACCAGGACCGCAGAGAGCCTTCACATCTTCCGCCGCAAACTAAAGACACACCTCTTCAGACTCTACCTCGACTAAAGACTAACAAATTGTAGCACTTAAATTGTACTTGTAACGTCACTCATCTATAGCAAATTGTAAATTGGCTTATTTGAAGAAATTGCACTTTCTTGTTTCTTGTTCTCCTGAATTTGTACCCTATGGTTGAATGCACTTACTGTACGTCGCTTTGGATAAAAGCGTCAGCTAAATGACATGTAATGTAATGTAATGTAATGTTAATACATTTGCCATTAATTTTTTATAATATCCATAATTAATTTAAACCTGATTTCCTTACAAGAAACAACAGGGATCTCAGAAACTTTGCCTGCACTGTCCAGTAAAGTTACTGAATCGATTTCAAGTATTTCAAGTCACTGAATCAAATTGAATCGAATCGTTCTAAATTAACCCAGATCGTCCATGAATCGAATCGGTAACCATGAATCGCGATTCGTATCGTTGTTAAAATAAATCGTTACACACCTAGAAAACACATATGCAATTTTATTACCATTTACAATAGCTGCAATATACCAGAGGGCCGCATCCCTTTGCTTTAACTCCTACTCTTCCTCTGAGTGTGAACAACATAAAATCCTATTATCAAACAGTACAGAGTCTGTGAGTTCATGTCGTGTTCCTGTTGCGTGCAGGTGTCTGATCGCGGTGTGCTGGTGGTGGAGTTAGGCAGTGGACTGAGTTTTCCTGCCACAGAGTATCTCAGCCACATCATACACACTCAGGCTCTGCAGGGTTTGTTGATAGTCCGTCTTTGTTTAGAGGACCATTGCAGTAATGTGAGGTGATGTCTGTCTAGCTCAACCACCTCTTTTCGTTACAATTTTACTGTCATTTATCCTCCTGTCTTTCTGTCCTCAAACCTGTCTCCTCCAGCGTGTCCTCCGAAGTCAGTTCCGACTGCGAGAAGTGCGGCTTGTCTTTTGCAGATTAGAGGTAATGGCTTTTTCTTTGGGACCAGAAGTTAGTCAACAAAATATACGTTGGTCCCTCTGTGGTTTTTATCTAACACCCTCTGTATCTGTCTCCCTCCCACCTTCAGCTCTCTGTTCTGGAGGTGCAGTACAGCTGGTCATATGTGGGACATAATTATTTTTGAGGGAATGAGGATGCAATTAGAGAAATAATATTGACCTATATATATATATATATATAGATATATATATATATATATATGTTTACACACAGCTAAAGGGGACGTTTAAGGGTCCACTAAGCACTAATTAGCACGGTATTTAGGGAGTGCCTTCACGGTGTTCGACCCCGGAAGGGCAAATGGTTTTTGACAGCTAAACCGGATGTTGGAATCCACTACGAACGACTTGCTGGAAACCTATAATAAACTGACTTCAAACCATACCAGTGGACTCGCATCTAATGTTTCACACACAACGATGCTAAACAAACAGCAACATGCAGAGGTCTCATTAACGTGCGTCACACAGGTGTCTCTATCCCGGAGGTAGAGACTCCTCAGTAGGTCAACAAAGGTTGACTGAGCTCCTATAACAACGGATATTAAGAGTGAATGATCCATGGATAAGCAAAGCATTGTTGGTGCCTCAAGAAGAGGTTAAAGGCGGGGCCTGCAACCTACATATGGCAAGCCTCCATAGACAAAAGTCTTGCTGGATTTTTTGTGTACTCTCATCTTGAATACAGTTCCGGGAAAATGTATTTCCCCCTCCCTGGTGTCTTTATTGCCAGCCCTTTGAAATTACGTGAATAGAACTTGTTTGACTATGAAAAGTAGGCTAAAATATCATCATTTCTAAAGAAATTCAAGAGCAAATGAGAAAGAAAGTAATTGACACATATCTTTTTGCGGAAATAAGATTACTCCACGGGTTTCAAGTTCTCTCCTTTGTGTTTTATAGATATCCAAAACCCCAAGAGCCTTTTGTAGTAGCATATAAGGAGTTGATCGACTTAGTCCATCAGTGTGCTTGCTCCTCAAACTCTTTGTGACTTTGTGGACTTTTCTTGCGAAAAGAAATAAAAATCTCTTTCTACGGGGGACCCAAAGGTGAGTTTAGACAATGATAGAGCATTCTTACCACAGATGTCATATGAATCACTGCTGTCAATTTGTGTTTCACTAATGATATGCTTGATACTTAACAGTCCTTAACAGGACTATTGTAATGTCACACTCATACTCTCAGGAAAATTTCTACTTTTTATATTTTTCCCAGTTGGCCATGGCGGCGTCTTTTAAAAATGTGGTTTGAAGATGTCTGTTGTTTTTTTCAGCGCATTTGTGTGGTGGCTCATAATGGGGGTGCCTGGAAGCTTTTTGTTGCCCTGTATTTTGCTGATTCTGAGAAGAAGCACTTCAGGTAAACCATATTGTCATTATGATACATAATAATTGTGTTATCTTATTTTCCAAAAAGGTAAAGTGATTGTTTTGAGGATCTTAATGAATGTAAACATGATCAATTGCACCCAGAAATTTGACTTGTATATTCCTATTCCTTATGACACTACCATTAAATCAAATGCTCTACACTACTATGTCTAGGAACTTGTGAAGCTTTACATGCAACCTTGCATATTGTATTGATCATTTAAACATTTTTACACTGAAGAGTCTAATCTAGTGTTTTCGAAGAGTCAGGATTCTTGTTGTTTAGTCACAAAATCATCTCGATTGTGTTACCTTTTTCTCTGCTGGCATGTTTTTTTTTTACCATGAACCTTTTGGAAAACTTCCCCACAATCACAAAGTTGTGTTTGTTTTTCTGTAATTTTTGAACTTTTATCATAAATCTGTCAATTAAAAGTGACATTATGAGATGAAGGTGAATGGCGAGTCTTGTATTGGTGTCATGCTCACAAAATGATCTCCCCTCTTTTTTTTTAGTGCACTCCACCACCATAATCACAAGCTCACCAGCTGCAGGCAACAGCACAGCAGATGAGGGGGAGGTCCGCCTGGCCGATGGAGGAAACAGCTCCTGCTCTGGCAGAGTGGAGATCTTCCACAGCGGACAGTGGGGGGCGGTGTGCGACGACCACTGGGACCTGCTGGATGCTCAGGTGGTGTGCAGGCAGCTGGGCTGTGGCAGGGTCCTGTCAGCGCCACAAGCTGCACACTTTGGACAAGGCACAGGTCCCATCTGGTTGGACGATCTCGTCTGCGGAGGCAGCGAATCAAAGCTCAGCGAGTGCAGTCACAGAGGGTTTGGAACTCACGACTGTGGTCACCACGAGGATGCTGGTGTCGCCTGTGAAGGTAGGTGTTTTTTTTAATATTTTGCAACCTTTTATGGTTGCAAAATGATTCACTGATGACTATCATCTTTCTCTCCCACTTTGATTTGGTGACCTTATATCTTTCTTTTTAGTTCTCATTCAGACAACTTTACACTAACAACAAAGTGATTAATCTCATCCAACCCATCACTCTATGTTGGTTTATAAGAGTCAACATTCTAATTGTTGAAATTAATTTGCATGAAAGGATCTTTCATCTTTTTTTTTTTTAACAACCAATTTTTCAGTTTTTCCAACTCCACCTGAACAGCGCACTCCACCACCACTGAGGCTCCACCTATAATCACCAGCACACCAGCTTTTACATTACATTACATGTCATTTAGCTGATGCTTTTATCCAAAGCGACTTACAATAAGTGCATTCAACCACAGGGGTACAAACTCAGAAGAGCAAGAAACAAGAAAGTGCAATTTCCTCAAATAAGCCAATTTACTATTTGCTATAGATGAGTGGCGTTATAAGTACAATTTAAGTGCTACAATTTGTTAGTCTTTTAGTCGAGGTAGAGTCTGAAGAGGTGTGTCTTTAGTTTGCGGCGGAAGATGTGAGGGCTCTCTGTGGTCCTGATGTCTTCAGAGAGCTCGTTCCACCATTTTGGAGCAAGGACAGCAAAGAGTCGTGATCTTGTTGAGTGTTTTGCTCTCTGTCAATTAAAAGTGTCAGCTGCAGGCAACAGCACAGCAGTTGAGGGGGAGGTCCGTCTGGGCATGTTCAACTGTTTTTTTTTACCATGACCCTTTTTGAAAATTTCACTGTCAACAACATTGCATTGTATGTTTTTCTGTTAGCCGGTTCACCGGTGAGGCTGGTCAACTCTGACAACCGCTGCTCTGGCAGAGTGGAGGTGTACCACGATGCCCAGTGGGGGACAGTGTGTGACGACGGCTGGGACCTGATGGACGCCGACGTGGTGTGTAGACAGCTGGGCTGTGGTGCTGCTCGTTCTGCTGTAGTAAGTACAGCTTTTGGACAAGGAAGTGGACCCATCTGGTTGGACCATGTCAGTTGTTCTGGAAATGAATCATCAATAAGTGACTGCAGACATCCAGGATTTGGGGTCCATAACTGTCAGCACGGTGAAGACGCCGGCGTCATCTGCGATTGTAATTGTCCTTTTTTTTAATATTTTGTCATTTTGACCTTTTATCATATCTCTGTCAATTAAAAGTGACATTATGAGATGAAGGTGAATGGTAAGTCTTGTATTGGTGTCATCTGGTGTACACTGATAACTATCATCTTTCTTTCACCCTTTGATTTGGTGACATTATATCTTTGTCTCTAGTTCTAATTTAAACCTCTTTACACTGTACCAACAAAGTCATTCATCTCATCTAACACATCACTCTAAGTGGTTTAGAAGAGTCAACATTGTTATTGTTGAAATGAATGCTCACAAAATCATCTCCCATCTTTGTTTTTTCAGCGAACTTCACCACCACTGAGGCTCCACCGATAATCACCAGCACACCAGCTGCAGGCAACAGCACAGCAGTTGAGGGGGAGGTCCGCCTGGCCGATGGAGGAAACAGCTCCTGCTCTGGCAGAGTGGAGATCTTCCACAGTGGACAGTGGGGGGCGGTGTGCGACGACCACTGGGACCTGATGGATGCTGAAGTGGTGTGCAGGCAGCTGGGCTGTGGCAGGGTCCTGTCAGCTCCACAAGTTGCACACTTTGGACAAGGCACAGGTCCCATCTGGTTGGACGATGTCTTCTGCAGAGGCAGCGAATCAAAGCTGAGCGACTGCGTTCACATAGGGTTTGGAACTCACGACTGTCATCATGGCGAGGATGCTGGTGTCGTCTGTGAAGGTAAATACACTTTTGTACAGCCAAAGGTAATGAAATCTGTTTGTGTGGGAGGATGTTTATGGTGTAACATTTCATCATTTTAAAGAGAAGGCTGCTGTGGTGTTTTTCAAAGATGTCCTCTTCTTTACAAGGTCCATCTTTCATGTCTCACTGTCAACAACATTGCATTGTATGATTTTTCTGTTAGCCGGTTCACCGGTGAGGCTGGTCAACTCTGACAACCGCTGCTCTGGCAGAGTGGAGGTGTACCACGATGCCCAGTGGGGGACAGTGTGTGACGACGGCTGGGACCTGATGGACGCCGACGTGGTGTGTAGACAGCTGGGCTGTGGCGCTGCTCGTTCCGCTTTAACAAATGCAGCTCAGGGACAAGGAAGCGGGCCCATCTGGTTGGATGATGTCAGTTGTTCTGGAAATGAATCATCAATAACTGACTGCAGACAACCAGGATTTGGGGTCCATAACTGTCAGCATGCTGAAGACGCCGGCGTCATTTGTGGATGTAAGTGTCCTTTTATATTTTCCAACTTGTGTTAGTTGTGTTGAAACACAGGTCTACTGGTAGTGTTTGCTTCCCTACCGAACATTAAGTAGTGAGGAGACCATCCGGTTGCGTCACTCTTCGTGCTGTTGTATGCATGCACTAATGAGGCTACATCCTGACTTCAGGATCTCTTCTTCTCTTGTCCCAATATTGCCAGCATGGATAGCGGTGTACGGTTGAAAAGCTACAGCTGTGGATCTCTTTGGGGATGATACGGAGTCGTTCGTGATTTCCATATTCCCAAAGTTGTCAGCATCTCTTTGATCAGTCTCGACTCAAAATCTCTTCCCTGATCAGAATGAATCCTTGCAGGTAAAACCATAGTGTACGAAATACTTTTTCGACAAGGATCTGTGCGACCATCAGGGCTTTCTGATTCCTCACAGGGAAGGCTTGAGCGTATTCGGTAAAATGGTCTGTTACCACCAGGACGTTACTAATGCCTCTGGAATCAGGTTCCATTGACAAAAAGTCAATACACACCAGGTCGTCCTGAAGAGATACTGTACAACACCACTTCTCTGAGCTGGGAGGGCAGCACCAGCTGCAGTGTCTCCTCTACAGCTTTCTTGCTTGCTCGGAAAGGAAGTCCATCCCTCATCAGTCTGCCAACTTCCCTCTTCATCAGCAGCACCTCAGGGTTTAAGTCGTTGCCACTAGGCCAAACTCTGTTTCACAGCCTCAATCACTGGTCTAACCACTGTATCTCTCTTCTGAGCAGCCATTTAATCTGCTTTTGAAAGTTGCTCAAGTGTAACTGTGACTGAAAGGCATACACCTCAGGATTACCGCCTGGTGTGTCTCCTAATGGTTCCACACGTCTCTGAGATGTGTCAGGTTCTTCTTCCACTTGCACCCCTTGACATATGGCCTTCACCACATTCGGGGACAGGCTATCCCATTCTCTATCCTCTACATCCTCAGGTATGTTGCAGGACAACAAGTCAGCATCTATGTTTGCTTTACCAGGCCTATACTGATGCATCAAAATCATAGGTGGCATGGCTGCAAGCCAACGATGACCCGTCGCATTGAGTTTAGCCGTGGTAAGTGCATAGGTCAACGGATTATTATCTGTGCGTACAGAAAACCTGGCTCCGTAAAGGTAGACGTGAAACTTGTCCACTACAGCCCACTTTAGCGCAAGAAACTCTAACTGATTACACACAGTACTGGATATCGCTGTTCTGCAGAGCTCAACTTTTGGCTGAGTAAAGGCCACGGGCCTTAGCCCTTCTGGGTGTTCCTGGTAAAGTACCGCACCAATCCCTTTGAAACTTGCATCAGTATGTAAAACATAGGGCTTGTTGGCATCGGCAAAAGCCAACACCGGGGCATTAATCAGACATTGAATGATGCGATTGAAAGCGTCCATGCAGGATTGGTCCCATCGGTCATTGAATGGTTCTGAAACTTTAGAGTAGGTCTTGGTCTTGTCCATGACCTGCTTCTTTCCAGGCTGATTAGGCGCATAGCCCTTTGTGAGGGGCCTAAATATGGAGGAGTATTTCGCTTTGAAGTGTCTGTAATACCCACAGAAACCTAAGAAGGATCGCAGTGACTTTCCGCGACTGACCTTGCGCGACAGAAATCCCACACGACAGAAAGGCAGATTCCTTTCGGGGGTTTTATGTCCTGCAGCAGAAAACTGCTTCAAAAGTCAGACTTGGTTTTATATGGGAGCCCAAAACTGATAACTAACTCATCTTTCTCTCATACTTTGATGTGATAACGATTTAGCTTTTTTTTTAGTTCTCATTAAAAAGTCTTTACACTAACAACAAAGTCAGTCATTGTATCACTCTAAGTGGTTTAGAAGAGTCAAGATTCTTATTTTCGAAATGAATGCTCACAAAATCATCTCCCATTTTCTATTTTTTTTATTAATTTTTTTACAACAAACCTTTCAGTTTCGCCAACTTCACCTGAACCAACCACAGCGCACTTCACCACCACTGAGGCTCCACCTATAATCACCGGCGCAACATCAGCAATCAACAGCACAGCAGTGGAGGGGGAGGTTCGCCTGACCGATGGAGGAGACAGCTCCTGCTCTGGCAGAGTGGAGATCTTCCACAGTGGACAGTGGGGGGCGGTGTGCGACGACCACTGGGACCTGATGGATGCTGAGGTGGTGTGCAGGCAGCTGGGCTGTGGCAGGGTCCTGTCAGCTCCACAAGTTGGACACTTTGGACAAGGCACAGGTCCCATCTGGTTGGACGATGTCTTCTGCAGAGGCAGCGAATCAAAGCTGAGCGACTGCGTTCACATAGGGTTTGGAACTCACGACTGTCATCACGGCGAGGATGCTGGTGTCGTCTGTGAGGGTAAGTGTTTTTAAAAAAATATTTTGCAACCTTTTATCATATCTCTGTCAATTAAAAGTGACATACTGAGATTAACGTTTATGGAGAGTCTTGTATTGGTGTAATCTGGTGTACACTGATGACTATCATTCTCTCACACATCTTTACACTGTAACAAACAAAATAGTTCATCTCATTCAACCCATCCCTTGTAGAGTCAAGATTCTAATTGTTGAAATGAATGGTCACAAAAGGATCTTTTACTTTTATTTTATTTTTCACAACCTTTCAGTTTTTCCAACTCCACCTGAACCAACCACAGCACACTTCACCACCACTGAGGCTCCACCTATAATCACCAGCACACCAGCTGCAGGCAACAGCACAGCAGTTGAGGGGGAGGTCCGCCTGGCCGATGGAGGAAACAGCTCCTGCTCTGGCAGAGTGGAGGTGTACCACGATGCCCAGTGGGGGACAGTGTGTGACGACGGCTGGGACCTGAGGGACGCCGACGTGGTGTGTAGACAGCTGGGCTGTGGCGCTGCTCTTTCAGCTGTAGTAAGTACAGCTTTCGGACAAGGAAGTGGACCCATCTGGTTGGATGATGTCAATTGTTCTGGAAATGAATCATCAATAACTTACTGCAGACATCCAGGATTTGGGGTCCATAACTGTTGGCACGCTAAAGACGTCGGTGTCATCTGTGAATGAAATTGTCCTTTCATATTTTGAAATGTTTTATCATACTTTCACACATTAAAAGTAACAGGGTTTATGGAGAGCCTCGTATTGCTGTCCTCTGGTATACACTGATAAGCAACTCCTTTCTATTGTACGTTTATTTCGGGACCTTTCTCTATCTTCTTCTTTAATTCCAAATTTAGTCTTCACGTTGTAACCACAAAGTAATTTCTCTCGTCTAATCCATCCAATTAAATGGTTTAGAAGAGTCATAAGTCTTGTTATAAAATTGAATGGTCAAAAAATGATTTCTGATTTTTTACCTTTTTTTGCCCATGATCAAAATGTTTTAATTGCAATCATTTGGTGATTGGTTGTGATTTATCGGATTGTAATTTGCAAAAATTCAATAAAGCACGCAAAACTAGTGTATTGCATGCTGTTATTTGTTACGACTGTTTATTGTTTAACTTTGTTAACCGCAGTATTCCCTTTACACAGTAGCAGTTAAAATATGCCTTTTAATTTTTTAACTGTGCGGGGAAGTCTGTGTAGTGCATGTTTGTTCTTTTCAAAAAATGCAATCAATCAATTCCTCTGGAAGGGATTTTAAATGACATGTCCACGTGAGTGTTGCTACTTTTTACCACTTTTACCCCCGCTAGTTAGCAGGATTCTTTGGCCCGCCCCCAAATGCTCTCATTGGTTGAAACACAAGATGATGTTTCAACATAATAACTTTTTTTAAATAACTGTGTTAACGAACGATAAAATGTTAATTAATGAATGCATTATCGCGATAACGTGCCCAGTCCTAGTATAAATATGTTAAGTCCTCCTCTGTTTGAAAACCACAACTATCAGGAATCAGGAATCAGGAAACATTTATTTACCAAAATATGCCAAATATACAAGGAATTTGTCTTGGCGGTTAGTGCGCGACAGTAGACAGACAAGACAGCAGTGCACAAGTAATAAAATAAAGTAAAATGAAATGCTAATGCAATGGGTTAGTAGAATAAGGCTATGAGTTAGTATAAAACAAGGGAATAAAGTTAAAAATGTTAAATATTAAAAAAGTTAAAAAGAAAAATATTAAGCATAAAGTGCACTAACGAACAAGTAACAAAGTGACGAGTGACGACAAGTGATGAATTGCAGTTAAAGTGGCATGTGCAGTGTGGAGGGGAGTGACCGGTGGAATGTTATAGTCAGGCAGTGGGGGACCGGGCTCTGTTGATGAGCCCGACTGCCGACGGGAAGAAACTGTTCGTGTGCCGGAGGTCTTAGTCCTGATGGACCTCAGCCTCCTGCCAGATGGCAGGGCCACAAACAGTTTTTGTCAGGGGTGAGAGGGGTCGGCCACGATCTTTTTAGCACGCTTCAGAGACCTGGAAGCGAACAAGTCCTGCAGGGACGGCAGATTGCAGCCGATCACCCTCTCTGCAGAGCGGATGACACGCTGCAGCCTGCCCTTGTCCTTGGCTGTGGCTGCAGCGTACCAGACGGTGATGGAGGAGCAGAGGATGGACTCGATGATGGCCGTGTAGAAGTGCACCATCATCGTCTTTGGCAGGTTGAATTTCTTCAGCTGCCTCAGGAAGAACAACCTCTGCTGAGCCTTCTTGGTGATGGAGCTGATGTTCAGCATTTTTTACTGCTAATATTTAGTGCATAAAGTAGTACTGCAACAAAGTCAAATGTACTTTGATCTTGTGGATCCCATTTATCTGAGTTTAAATTATCAGTTTTAGTTGGTGAGATAAGATCTGTCGTATTATAGTTTTTGGCCATTGAAATGGGTTTATTCAGATGACAGCTGTACCATCTTGGTTAAACAATCATTTTTATTATCACTGTAATTTCCCACAAAGCTAATGGGCACAGACATGATGTACTCATTAGGTATTGGCTTCTGTTGAACCCCAGACGGCCTTACAGTCATTCGGACACTGCTGAGCGGTCATTCCGTGGTGCACTTCAGCCCAAACACCGCTGCGTATGAATACCAGTGGAAGATTCCATGTGCCATTTCTAGACAGGTGGCAAGCTCAAGCTCAAACTTGATGTACCTGATTACTTTCATTGGATTGCACCTATTTCCTGTGGACCAGATAGAGAATGTGAAAAAACCTTTTTTAGGAAACTTGAATGACAAACTAACTGTATGCAACTACTTTGCTATGTGCTGTTTCTCTTTCAGTCTCCACAGAACAGGAATTATTCTTTGATGTGAACAACTCCACTCATCTCATTAGTTAGATGTAACCATGAACAATGGAGTGGTTTAGAACTATTCATAAAGAAGTGCGAAACTCTGTTGCGGCCTATTGTTTGTATATGAACAGAATGCAGAATAAACAACAAGATAAAGAAAACTTTCCGTAAGACTTACATAAAAAAGTCAAATTAATATAATAATATAACCACTCAGGTTGTTGCAGCATAATGGGTTTTACACACAGCTGAGGGGGATGTTTAAGGGACCAAATCTGAATTTACTCAATAATGAACGGACCAGAGCAAACACAATGCTTGTGCCACTATCATTATTTATTTATCTATCTAAATGGACATTCGCTTTCGCTTTTTTTGATGTTGAATACATTATTATAATTGATCACGATTACTGATTGCGCTACATTTTTTTACGAAAAGCACCATGCTTTGTTACATGTATACAAGTATTTTTTCCAAGTAAAATGTGAATTGGACCATGTTTGTGTTACCTAGAAGTCATCTGATTGGTCCCAGCATCATGTCACGTAAATCAGTGTGATCCATCCACGGATAAGCAAGGAATATTTGGTGCTTCAGGAGGGTAAAAGGTGGGGCTGTGCCCCACAGCCCGCTTATGGCAAGCCGCCAAAGTCTTGCTGGGTTTTTTGTGTAATCCCATCTCAAATACAGTGCCAGGAAAATGTATTTCCCCCTTCCTGGTTTCTTATTGATTTGGATATTTGTCACACTTAAATGTTTCAGATCATCAAACACAGTTTTACATTAGACAAAGATAACCTGAGTAAATACAAAATGCATGCAAAATAAATATCCAAACCTACCTGGCCTCTGTGTGAAGAAGTAATTGCCCCACACCTCCTCCCCATTGATAAATCATGAATGAACTGTGATTAACCACATTCCTGGGAAAGCTGAGTTCAATTTCACTCAACACACCCAGGCCTAGTTACTGCCATACCTGTGAAATCAAGAAATCACTTATATAGAATCAGAGTCTGACTAAGTGAAGTAGGCTAAAATATCTCAAAAAGGAACGCATTTCTAAAGAAATTCAAGAAAGTAATTGACACGTATCAGTCTGGAAATGTTTAGAAAGCCTTTTTCATGTCTTTGGGACTCCAGATAACCATGGTGTCAGCCTTTATCCACAAGTGGAGAAGACTTGTAACTGGTGAACCTTTCCAGGAGGGCCGGCTTACTAAAATTACTTCAAGAGCGTCCTCCAGGGTCCTCCAGAGTGACTCTTCATGTCCAGGGTCCCTTCTTGGGCCCATCCAATCCTTTTATGCCTAAAAGCGAGAGCTGAGTTCGGGTGCTCGGCAGAGTGGTTTCCCTCACCTTTGGCCTTGAAGGATGAGTCATGACCAAAATACCTGGGTCACGGATACAAGCGGCTGAAATGTGTTTCCTGATGAGGGTGAGAAGCTCAGCCATCCTTGAGGAGCTCGGAGCAGAGCCGCTGGAAGCCCCTCAACTGGCTTCCAGCTGTTTTGGTCTGGGAATCTGGTAAGGACGTCCCCGAGGGATTGTCCAGTCAAAGCAGGTAGATGTGAGCCGGGGAAAGTTTGGGGTCTGAAAACTTGCTGAAACTGTGGCCCCGTGACCCGACCCCAGATAAGCAGTTAGAGATGAGATGAGAGGAAAGCTTCTCCATACTTCTCTCTGTCAGTGCACTTTTAAAATCATTAACACATATAACGTTAACATGAAGTTTACACAAGAATTCTGTGGTTATTAATTGACTTACAGTTAATAAGGAAATACTTCTTTAAGAAAAGATTACTCAGGAGGAAATTTCATGTTTCCCTTCCTTTGTGTTTTATAGAAAGGGAAAACCCCAGGAGCCTTTTGTGGTAGCATATAAGGAGAAGTTCAACCTAGTCCATCAGTGTGCTTGCTCCTCAAACTCTTTGTGACTTTGTGGACTCTGCAGCTCTTCTTGCAAGAATCTTGGTCATAAAAATCTTTATTTCTACAATCTCTCCAGGACCCAAAGGTGAGCTTAGATGCTGATAGAGAATTCTTACAACAGATGTCATATAAATCACTGCTGTCAATTTGTGTTTCTCTAATGAGCTTGATACTTAACAGTTCTTAACAGGACTATAAACTGTCACACTCTTAATCAGAGGGAAATTTCTACTTTTTATATTTTCCCCAGCTCCTGCTTTACCACACACTCTCTCGAAGGTAAGTACAAGACTTGCACCGTAGTGACCTCTATGCACGGCGGTATCCTTTCAAAATGTGGTTATAAGATGTCTGTTGTTTTTTTCAGCACATTTGTGTGGTGGCTCATCATGGGGGTGCCTGGGAGCTTTTTGTTTCCCTGTATTTTGCTGATTTTGGGAAGAAGCACTTCAGGTAAACCATATTGTCAATACATTATGATACAAAATAATTGTGTATCTCATTTCTCAAAAAGATAAATCGATCGTTTTGAGGATTTAAAAGAATGTAAACACCAAACAATTGCACCCAGACATTTGTCTTTAGATGGAGCTTGCAGAGTACATTTAAGATGAAACATATTTGGTACCATCACTATACTGTATATTCCTATCTCAATAATTAACTGACACACTAATACTAATTAAATCAACCTAAATATTAAATATTTAGAGACCATATTTTATGACAGCGCGATTACATCATATGCTGGATACTACTATGTCCAAATATACTTTCACGCTCTCTACATGCAACCTTGCATATTATGACGATATTGATAATTTAAACGTTCTTACACTTTAACAAAATAGTCTAATCCATCAATTTAAGTAATTTAGAAGAGTCAGGATTCTTGTTGTTTTCCTGATTGGTCACAAAATCATCTCGATTGTTTTACCATATTTCTCTGCTGGCATTTTATTTTACCAGGAACATTTTTGAAAACTTTCACAGTACTATGACAACATTGTGTTGTATGTTTTTCTGTTAGCTGGTTCACCGGTGAGGCTGGTCAACTCTGACAACCGCTGCTCTGGCAGAGTGGAGGTGTACCACGATGCCCAGTGGGGGACAGTGTGTGACGACGGCTGGGACCTGATGGACGCCGACGTGGTGTGTAGACAGCTGGGCTGTGGCGCTGCTCGTTCTGCTGTAGTAAGTACAGCTTTTGGACAAGGAAGTGGACCCATCTGGTTGGACCATGTCAGTTGTTCTGGATATGAATCATCAATAAGTGACTGCAGACATCCAGGATTTGGGGTCCATAACTGTCAGCATGCTGAAGACGCCGGTGTCATCTGTCAATGTAAGTGTCCTTTTTAAAAATATTTTGTCATTTTGACCTTTTATCATATCTCTGTCAATTAAAAGTGACATTATGAGGTCAAGGTGAATGGTGAGTCTTGCATTGGTGTCATCTGGTGTACACTGATAACTATCTCATCTTTCTTTCACCCTTTGATTTGGTGACATTATATCTTTGTCTTAACATCTTTACACTGTACCAACAAAGTCATTCATCGCATCTAACCCATCACGCTGAATGGTTTATGAGAGTCAAGATTGTTGTTGTTGTTGTTGTTAAAAAAAGATTGGCCAAAAAATTATCTCATCTTTCACTTTCTTATTTTTAAAACAAACCCTTCAGTTTTGCCAACTTCACCTGAACCTACAACAGCGCACTTCACCACGACTGAGGATCCACCTATAATCACCAGCACACCAGCAGCAGGTAACAACACAGTGGCTGAGAGGGAGGTCCGCCTGGCCGATGGAGCGAGGATGTTTTTGGTGTAACATTTCATCATTTTAAAGAGAAGGCTGCTTTGCTGTTTTTCAAAGATGTCCTCTTCTTTACGAGGTCCATCTTTCATGTCTCACTGTCAACAACTTTGCGTTGTATGTTTTTCTGTTAGCCGGTTCACCGGTGAGGCTGGTCAACTCTGACAACCGCTGCTCTGGCAGAGTGGAGGTGTACCACGATGCCCAGTGGGGGACAGTGTGTGACGACGGCTGGGACCTGATGGACGCCGACGTGGTGTGTAGACAGCTGGGCTGTGGCGCTGCTCGTTCTGCTGTAGTAAGTACAGCTTTCGGACAAGGAAGTGGACCCATCTGGTTGGACCATGTCAGTTGTTCTGGAAATGAATCATCAATAACTGACTGCAGACATCCAGGATTTGGGGTCCATAACTGTCAGCACGGTGAAGACGCCGGCGTCATCTGTGAATGTAATTGTTCTTTTATATTTTGAAATGTTTTAACATACTTTCATACATTAAAAGTAACATACTGATATTAAGGTGAATGAAGAGGCTCGTATTGGTGTCATCTGGTATACACCGACAACCATCTCATCTTTTTCTCACACTTTGATTTGAAGACATATTATCTTTCCCTTTAGATATCTTTTAAACATCGTTACACTGCAACAACAAAGTCATTCATCTCATCTAACCCATCACACTCAATGGTTCAGAAGAGTCAAGATTCTTATTGTTGAATCGAATGCTCACAGAAGGTTCTTTGATCTTTCATTTCATTTTTCACAACCAACCTTTCAGTTTGGCCAACTTCACCTGAACCAACCACGGCGCACTTCACCACCACTGAGGCTCCACCTATAATCACCAGCACACCAGCTGCAGGCAACAGCACAGCAGTTGAGGGGGAGGTCCGCCTGGCCGATGGAGGAAACAGCTCCTGCTCTGGCAGAGTGGAGATCTTCCACAGTGGACAGTGGGGGGCGGTGTGCGACGACCACTGGGACCTGCTGGATGCTCAGGTGGTGTGCAGGCAGCTGGGCTGTGGCAGGGTCCTGTCAGCGCCACAAGCTGCACACTTTGGACAAGGCACAGGTCCCATCTGGTTAGACGATCTCGTTTGCAGAGGCAGCGAATCAAAGCTCAGCGAGTGCAGTCACAGAGGGTTTGGAACTCACGACTGTGGTCACCACGAGGATGCTGGTGTCGTCTGTGAAGGTAAATACGCTTTTGTACAGCCAAAGGCAATGAAGTCCGTTTGTGTGGGAGGATGTTTATGGTGTAAAATTTCATCATTTTAAAGAGAAGGCTGCTGTGGTGTTTTTCAAAGATGTCCTCTTCTTTACGAGGTCCATCTTTCATGTCTCACTGTCAATAACATTGCGTTGTATGTTTCTCTGTTAGCTGGTTCACCGGTGAGGCTGGTCAACTCTGACAACCGCTGCTCTGGCAGAGTGGAGGTGTACCACGATGCCCAGTGGGGGACAGTGTGTGACGACGCCTGGGACCTGATGGACGCCGACGTGGTGTGTAGACAGCTGGGCTGTGGCGCTGCTCGTTCCGCTTTAACAAATGCAGCTCAGGGACAAGGAAGCGGGCCCATCTGGTTGGATGATGTCAGTTGTTCTGGAAATGAATCATCAATAACTGACTGCAGACATCCAGGATTTCGGGTCCATAACTGTCAGCATGCTGAAGACGCCGGCGTCATTTGTGAATGAAATTGTCAAAAAATGATTTCAGATTTTTTACCTTTTTTTTAGTGCTTGCCCATGATCAAAATGTTTTAATCGCAATCATTTGGTGATTGGTTGTAATTTATCGCATTGTAATTTGCAAAATTCAATAAAGCACGCAAAAGTAGTGTATTGCATGCTGTTATTTGTTACAACTGTTTATTGTTTAACTTTGTTAACGGCAGTATAACCTTTACACTGTAGCAGTTAAAATATGCCTTTTAATTCTCAACTTAAATGAATGAACTTAATTAAATAATACAATTTAAAAATACACATGAATACACTTTTTTTAAACCAAAGCTATCTTCCACAGCCAGGGCATTACTGTTTAATCTAGATTGTTATAGAAAAACGTTCCCCTTCGCACCCAATGACATTGAAATAGCCAGGTTAACGTTAATGAATCTCTTTATAGCATAAACATGTGTTTTTGATCAGGGAGCGGCATAAATGGTGTATCGGTCAACGTTCTGTCTAAATAAATTAATAACTCATTTAGCAATAATCCTTGTTCAGTAGTGAGTGTCCCTGTTAGAGTGAGGTGGTCAAGCACTAAGGTCATATCTGCGTTTAACTGTGCGGGGAAGTCTGTGTAGTGCATATTTGTTCCTTTCAAGAAATGCAGTCAATCAATTTATCTGGAAGGGATTTTAAATGAAATGGCCATGTGAGTGTTGCTACTTTTTACCACTTTTACCCCCGCTAGTTAGCAGGATTCTTTGGCCCGCCCCCAAATGCTCATTGGTTGAAACACAACCTTTATTAGGAAACTTGAATGACAAACTGACTGTATGCAACTACTTTGCTATGTGCTGTTTCTCTTTCAGTCTCCACAGAACGGGAATTATTCTTTGATGGAGCAACTCCACTCATCTCATTACTTGGATGTAACCATGAACAATGGAGTGGTTTGGAACCATTCATAAAGAAGTGTAAATGAATGAATGTAATAAATGTGTGCTGTATGCTTTATGCATGCTACTCTTTCTTATAAAAATGTTTTGCATTTGTTTGTGATCCACTTTGTGACAAGATTTGTGTCTTTACACAAACGCATGAATTATTCTTTGGACCAAATTACATCTCTTTTGTACAATAGTGTAAACTGTCTTTGTGTGTGGTATAATGTAATTTAGTCATTTTGTGTTTTACTTTTTCAAAACTTACTTGGAATATGCAGTAGTGAACAAATTAAAGTAAAATGAAGTCCCAACTGACTTTGGTCCAGACTGAAAATAGTAAACTACTATGATGAATTTACATATAGCACTGTCAGAGGATGAATAATGATAACTTTAGTGACACCCTGACTTTTCCTGCGGCAACGCCATGAGGTGTTTCTTTGTGTTTGAGTGGGACATTGACAGCCATGAAACCATTCCTAACTAGTAGCCTCAGAAGAACTCAGAGACTATCTGACATACTTTCCACGTTCAAAAGTTGAAGTATAACCTAAAATCTGCGATTCCTTTTTGAAGACCATGGGCTCAGACATTCCCCATACCTTAATCAGGAGAATATGTTTTATTCAAAATATTCCTAAACTGCATTAAGGTCAATATAGTGGTGATCACCGACTGTGTTGAGGTTGGTCACCTTGCAGCTGAAGGTCACAGTACACATGCCTCTGCTCTCTAGGAAACTCATAATAATGGCCTTTGTATGCAGGTGGGCGTTTAATAGATTTGATTGACATGCCAAGCGCCCAATAGAACGGCCCACTGGCACAGATGAGGGCGGGGCATCCGATGACCAACGTTTTCGGGTTCAGGTTTTACAGCAGTTGGGGCTAATTTCCGCTCGGTGGTGGTTGCAGCGCAGACCCGGTAGCCCTCAGCCCTCGACTCAGCCGACAGCCGTCGCCATGTCCAACAACAACGCCAGCAACAACTTAATTATCGCCCAAAGGGCCGTGAAGCAGCTCCGGTTAGAGGCCAGTATCCGCAGGATCAAGGTACGCAACCCTCAACACAAACACGGAAGACTGCGCTCGCCGTTGAATGGCGGAGACGAACTGTTGCCGAAATGACACAGACCGGACTCTTTACAAGTTACGCGCCGAGAGACGCGACTAAAACCCGGGCACCACCGGCTCCTTCCGCGTCGTTACGGCGGAGAGTTTGCGTCAGTTGTTGTTGTTGGGTTTTTGTTTTTTTTGTGGGAAGCGTCGCCACTTTAAAGTGTCAAAAGTGTCGAGAGGAAGTGACACGTTTATCGAAGTTTCTCTGTGTTGTTGTTGTTATCTTAAGGGCAACGGGTGACCAGTATCGCTCGAAATGTTACACGGGTGACACACCCGTCCGTGTTTGGTCCCGTTGCTTGCAAATAATATGCAAAAAAGGTGCCTTTTTTTTTTTTTTTAGGTCCGTGTATGTAAACGAGAGACATTTGAGCAGCGGGAGTCCCGCAGCATTACAACTGTCACAGACTTGTTGTTATTGTTGTTTCCGTCACCGTGTGTCTGGCTCCGCAGGTGTCCCAGGCCGCTGCTGAGCTGAGGAACTTCTGTCAGCAGAATGCCTCCAAGGACCCCCTCTTGGTAGGGGTGCCCTCCAGCGATAATCCCTTCAGACCCCCAAAGTCCTGCTCCCTGTTCTGAGGTAGGCCTGCTGGTCCCTTCGTCTACGCTGCAGAGGGAAGACACGAATTACATCTTCACAATCAGTTTACGTTGAATTTAACTAACTCGCCGCACTCAACTTTGGGGCTAATGATTATTTTCACTGAAAAATTAAGCATTTTGAATGTGCGCCTGCCTGCTTGTGCGGAATGCAGAAAGAACAATACAGCTGTGAACTATAGCAGCAACGGAGGAATTTGTCACTCAAATCGACTACATTAAGCATCAACCCTGAATGGGCATCGTCTTAAAAGGTGGTAAATGTTTTGCAATTGTATCCGTTTGTCTACAGCAGACCGAAAGGTCTTTGAACTGGCCCATGGATTTACCCGTCTTCACTTGTACCTGATGTTGCTGCAGATCGACCAGCGGCTCTTCTTGGGATGATGCATCACAGGACCGATGGGCTCAGGAGAGTGATGACACCCACTCGTTTGCCAAATTTAATAGATCCATAACTCCCATCTGTTACATTAATACAGGGCCAAACTCAACTTACAAAAAAAAATGTAATTATTGACTCTTAACTTGACTAATGATTAAGCCATTTGTGGTTTACCTGATTAACGTTTCCGGTTTAAATTTGCTGACCCATTGATGTCAGTGAAATTCAGCCCACATTATTGGCAAAGTCAAACATTAATTTAAACCAGATGCTTAAGAATCAGAACATTTTCTATTTATGTGTGTGCATGTATGTATGTGTATATATACGTACACACATATATTCATACACACCCTTATTATATTGTGTGTCTTTACAAAACATTAACTGTCTATGTGGCCAACATGCATACTGGTAGCTTTTGAGCTACATTTATAGGTATCTTAAACCATCCATGCATTTGTGGCAATGGTAACGGTGTTACTACTATTTGAAGGTACAGTGATATGGTACAGACTTTAACCACATCAGTGCAGGGCATGTGATTGTCCATTGTTTCAGTCTTTTTCTCTGTATATAGTTAACAGCCTGTTAGGGTTTGCCAGCCTAAAAGTTCCTGTCTTTGAAACACACCAAGGCCTTACACTGTTGGATAGTGAGTCATTTAATGTGTATTACTTTAGATACTGAAATGGCCAAACAGCAAGTTTTGAATATATCTTATCAAAACCGATTATTATTTCTGTTGAATGAATGATGCTCCATTGACTTGTTGCGTTAATTGTTTTCCACATTGGAATCATATTCCAATCAACCAAAACGTGTACTACTGTTAGCCTTTTTCTTCCTAACTTTGCTACTTCAGGTAACCTTTTAAACAATAAACTACTTTTCTGAACACTGGTTAATTGCTATACATGCTTTTTTCTTTTAAATATCAATCTTTTCTTAAAAGATTGGGGGGGTTTTCCAGGTATAAGTTCACACTGTTGAATTGTTTGAGACTTGATCAGAAGCTTTTAGGTTGCTTCTAAAATAGGTCAAAGCAGTTGCGGCCTCTTGATTTAGTTGTGGGTCAGTTGAGTGTTTTGTAAGCCAATAAACTGCTGGACTGAATTCAGTTTAAAATGATTGCGCTGGACGTTTGGTTGCGCTGCATAAATGTACATCCTAACAGCATTGCAGGCAGCGCCACTAACTCCAAAGTTGCTGCTGCATGTGGAGGCAGAACACTGGCATATTTCTAATACTGATTCATCAATATTTGTAAGAAAACCAACTAGAAATGCTGAGAATAGTTGTGCTTTGTTTGCTCCACTTGTGGTCTCCAACACTGAATTTAATCCATGCCCAAATTCACTTGACACCCAATAGTGAAATTTGGGACAAAATTTGGGTCAATTTCAGCTCCTCTCCATAATATCTAAAAAAAAAATATATATATATATATATATATATATATCACTTCATACTTTTACAGCATGTGTTAAATCACACTAAGCATTTGTTGGACTGAATCATTTTAAATCCTAAAGTTTCATTGTAGCTTTTTATATTTGACGGTAATTAGCGGAATTGCCATCACCTGGAATTAAAAGAAGCACCATCTGTCAGAGGAAGTGTCCCTTTTCGACTCGGGTAAGGCACTGGAGATATGACCACTGATCCATTGTTAATGTAGGCATTTAGTGGTGTAAATGTCATGAGAGTATGTGTGTGTGCACATTGTCTTGATCACGTTGTGGTGCGTGCAAGTAAAATGTCCCCTTGTTGCTAATATGTGAATGTGGCATCCAGATGGCTTCCAGGTTTGGCCAGAAGAGAGTTGGAAGAAGCTCTGAGTACTCTGGTAATACTGTCACCTTTTACCGGCAATGTAGGCGCATGAACCAAAAGCTTTTAACTGTGAACGCTGAAGTGATCTGAAACCACAATCTAATCCGCACTACCACTTATCCCCATCTTTACTTCCCCTTCTCCTCAACATGTTGACTGCAGACACCCATCTGTCCAAGGATCTGACCTCCTCCAATGAGCTCTCCCACAGCGCCTCCTGGTGGGACGAAAGAGGGGAGCACACAGAGCAAGGAGACTCCCTCAAAGTGGGTCCCAAAAAAATTAAATACATTAAACCGATTATGGGGATTAGGGTTCATTCTGGGGGGGGGAAACTAAATATCCATCATGTAGGAGCATCTAAAGGCGATGGATGAGCATGCGGCCAGGCTTCAGGACATGCTGCGATGCGAACGGACCAAAGTAAGTTGTGCGTGTGTGACAGAAATGGTGGAATATGCAATGTGTTTCTCCCTGAAATTACTCTTCCCCCCCTTCTAAAATTCCCCTCCACCCTCTGGGCAGAGCACTCGTCTGCAGCTGCGTTGCAACCAGCTGGAGGCCGAGCTGAGGCTTCGAGAGCAGCTCACCAGCAGACTGAAGGAGCGAGTCGCTCAGCAGACGGACCGACACAGAGAGAAAGGACCTTGTGAGACTCTGTCCAGTTGCACCTAAATTCATTGAATACTTCCCTCCCGGCTGTTACTTATATTTTATATATATGTATATTTACTGAAAACTGGCAACATTTACCTGCTTGCATTGTTGTGTACAGCAATAGAGGTGTTGAACCTTCCGCCTGGAGGTCGAGGCAAAAAAGAACAGCTGATCAAATCCTTCAGGTCTACCGCCAAGTAAGGTGACTCAATCGTCGCTTCCTTTAAGCCTCTCGTCGCCTCTGGCTAATTCTCATTTGCTTCCCTCGGCCGTGCAGACGAGAAGAGGCCGCGCTGCGTCTGATGCTGGAGCGCAGAGAAGCAGAGCTCAGGGAGGCGATGAAGCTGCGCCACAGTCTCACGACTTTACTTCATTCTCTCAGAGTCGACATGGAGCACGTGAGGAAAAGAAGGCCGGTTCAGGTCGATTACTATTATTGGTCGGGTTGGGCCCCAAGAGATGATGAATTGAAGTTATTTTGACAAAACTAGTTAAACTGCAGAGGCTGCTGCAGTGTCGTGTTAAAGCGGAACTTGGCGGATACAAGGTCCATTGAGCAGCCATTGCGGCGCTTGAAAGTTCAAATTGGACATTTTACCTTTCAGCCACCATGGACAAAAACGTCCTTTTAGGTGTTTTGGTAAATAAAGGAAACTCCATCGGCTAACAAGTCATCAAAATCTCCTGAAAGGCCACTTAAATAACTCAATTGTTTCTAGAGACCTGAGTCCAAGATGAGTATTCATAAGGACGACTACGTCCCAAATCCCAATTTTCTTTTTAAAGACGCTGTCCAACGTGGTGGAAGTCCAAACGGAGGACAAAGGGCTGGATCAAGCTGAGAGAGCGCTGGGTGACCATGTAACAGGAGGAGTGGTTCAGAGTTGGAGGCAGGTGCAGAGGAGACTAGCCGACGTTCCATCTGGAGGTAAAGACCCCTGATGAACCCTCGTCAAAGTCCCGCGTTCATCTGTTGAACAACAGACAAGAAGTACTCTTTGCAAATGTACATTTTCGTCTTTTCATTTATTTTTGCCAAACCAATGCTTGCCTGAGGACAATGTGTGGTCTTTTCTCGACTGCGGAGGCCACTCTGGCGTTGACACTGACCATGACAAGCTCCTCGCTGGACTAGAAACCGAACTCAAGGGGAGCCAACAGCTCGTCAGATTACAACAGCAGCTGCTGCAGGTTTCGTTAAACTTGCTCTCACTTTATTCTTGCATGAACTTCTGGTGTTATAGCTCCAGTCAAACTTCAAAGCCCTGACTTTGCCTGTCCGCAGGACAGCCTTGCCTCACCTGCCACCTCTGAACTGGCTGATTCCTACTTTTTGGAAGAGTGGGAACGTCTTCAGGTGCGCTCGGCGGAGCTCGATCATCAGCGGCGGACTTTTGAAAGGGAGAGGCGGTCCTTCACCGACGCTGCCATCCGACTGAGCCATGAGGTGGGAAGAACACTGTTATTAATTTGCAAACATAAAGGGATTTATAATCTGTGTTGTGTATGACACCCTCTGTCTTTGGACTCTAGATTTTGATATCCGGATAAAGGTAGAAACCTCTGCAAACGGAGGAGAGATCCCTACCGCTTTCATTGTGCATGTACTGTCCCCCATACAAATATCACAGCATACTGGCTTAAGAGGCTGCTTCTTTTTTGTGTCCACAGCGCCGTGAGTTTGAGCAAAAGAAGGCCGCTCTCCTGAAGCAGCATTATCTGTGCGACTCACCTCTGTCTGGTAAAGGAGCCCCAAGAAGCAACACCGCCAGGCGGAGCGCAGCACTCGGTGAGTACGCAATTTCAAAAAAAGGATTGCATGGTTGGGAGAAAAGTACTTAACACATTATGCGCATGTGACTCCAGATTTCTCAAGTTTTGGGCCTTCTGGCATGTCTGACTGTCTCCCCATTACACCGCCTTCCACCAAGTCGGGGTCGGCTACGCTTTCTGTATCGCATCAGGGACGATTTGGAGTTCACACCCCGAGCACTCCCGAGCTGTACTCTGCCCTCAATCTGTCCTACAACTGCAGGTTAGTCAAGTCCTGCTGTCGTGGCAATGGCCGTGTACACAAAGAGAGAAGGATGGCCAAAAGAAACTGTTGAATCACAATCACTCTTATGACTCCCTCCGCTCTCCTCCCTCAGAAGTAGAGCGCTGGACGACGCGCCAGAGACCTGGGACAGCCGAGTGGACGGGATGCTGCACACGCCACAGGCTTCACACCTAGACTGGTCTTTTTAATGCCATTCTGATGATGGCATCAAACACATTGCATCTTATTTACACTTTAAATATTCAATAAAGGCTGACTATATTTTAATCTGTTTTCCCCCCATAAATTCCTTGTATAATTCAAAGAGCAGTTTATCAGTTGAAATCAAGCCTGGCCCATAAAGCATTTTCCATAATGTTCATATGATTGCTGTCGAACATTTTTTTCTTTTGGTGCTTTTCCATAATAACATTGTCTGATGTGAATAGTTTTATTAAGTGATGACAACTGTGTGAAATATCCCAAAGCCATGTGCCATGTATTGGATTAAACTCTCCTTTTGATTAAAGATATCTCCAAGATTGCCTTGTTTGACTCACGCAACATAGCTAAAGCCAGGTCTTTATTATCCATAGCTAATGCAGATTATAATTAGAATTTTTTTCAACTCAATGGCATCCATTGTAGTCTGTCCATCCCGGGAGTGCATCCCTCCTCTGACGTTCTCCTTAAGGTTTCTTTCCTTTTTTCCCTCTTGGAAGGGTTTTTTCATTTTTGGGGGAGTTTTTCCTGTGCCGATGGTGGGTTTTGGGACAGAGGATGTTGTATGTGTACAGACTGTAAAGCCCTCTGATTGTGGGCTATACAAAATAAAATGAATTGAATTGAACCTTCTTGGATGGAGCGTTAAACATTTACGCAGGGAATCAGTCTACAATCTTAACATTCTGTTGTCATGCCTGCTGCATGTTAGTATTAAAAACATTTAGCTCAAAATGCTGCTATCTTCTTAACTAAATCGGTGTTCAGTAGTAAAGGATGCAGCTCCAAATGATTTGTTATTACTGAATATCAATACATTAAGTATACACAATTCCAAACTTTTATTTAACTTGATTTGTTATGCCTTGTTTATCTCCCTAAACAAAATATTTTAAAATATGTATATATATTATAAAAACCCAAACCCAAATCTGTGGCAGCAAAAGGCGCATGCAGCTGTGCGTAAGGGACCAGAGGGCTTTAATTCACCTCTAAATGACCTGCACGCGGGGTGCATGCGCTCCTGTGATTGGCTGCCGGCACGGGGGAGGAGTGTGCCTCGCTCCCTCTGATCACCACTTGTGTTCAATTACCAATTACCAACTTCAGAACTTTGTCCGTGCGCTTGCTGTCGTATGTCAGCGGTCCTTTACATCGTTATTACAACGTCAACAACTTTAACGTCCAACTCAAAACGGCGGACAAAACGAAAGCCACCGGTCGGGAAGGAGCGAGGATGAACGGGGTGGTTTGGGGACTTTCGCATCACCTGCCGAGCTTCATGGAGTCAGAAAGCAACAGTTTCCAGCCCTGGAGAGACTACATAGGACTGTCGGACACAATCAGAGAGATCCTGGGCCGCCACGCGGCCCCCGAGGGCCCTCTGACTGCCTCCAGTGCTCCGCACTCTGAATCGGAGGACCTGTCCGAGGCACTGATGTCCGTGCGAATTGCCGCAGTTCGCCAAAGCAGCGACCCTGGCGCAGACTGTGCGCCGCGCCTCTGCGGGGACTCCGTGGCGCCGGGCCCTCTGGCTGCTCCACGCGCTGTCGATGGTGGTTTGTGGTACGCCGCGAACCCCTCCCGTGCCGATAAACCAGAGGCAGCAGCTTTGACTCCGGCGCCAAGTCCGCTGGGCTCCCGGGGCCCAAAAGACCGCAAGAAGACCACTCGTTTCAAAAACACGGATCCACCATTGTCCGCGTCCCCCGAGCGCATGTTCTGCAGTTTCTGCAAGCACAACGGGGAGTCCGAGTTGGTGTGCGGATCCCACTGGCTGAAGAACCAGGTCGGAGACGTGCTGTGTCCCTATCTGCGGCAGTACGTGTGTCCTCTGTGCGGGGCCACGGGGGCCAAAGCGCACACCAAGCGCTTCTGCCCGAAGGTGGACAGCGCGTACAGCTCCGTGTACGCCAAGTGCAGACGCTGAACCAACGCGAGGCCAGCGCGCAGACACGGAAGGTTAAATCCTCCATCACCCAGTGTGGTTTCCCTTAAGCCACGCGCGTGTAAGTTGTGTGTGTGTGTGTGTGGTTTTTGTTTTATTTGCATGCTTTCGCACGTTTGCTGTGTAGCCTTTTTGTCTAATGCTGATTGGAGCCATTTCCCAGCTGGTCTGTTTGTCGGCCTGGTCTTCTCGAACAGCGTCCATTCACATTCTGTAGAGCACTTTCAATAACGACTGCCAGATATTGCGTTTGGGAGGAAAACAAGGCATGTTTCAAAAGAGTTTGTTTTACATATTTTTAAAAAAAAGGGGCCACCTGATGTCGTTTCATATCTCCCGTCCATGCATTGAAGGATACTAACTCAAGATGCAAGTCGACAGTAATGACGTTACGACAGCATATAAGCTAAACATCATGTGACCATGTCAGCATTTTTAACCATTTTAAATGTGAACAACTTGTTCTTGTTCAGAGGTGTTGAGCAAATACCTGTTCCTAAGGCATGCTATTCTATTTTGAAAATTGTAACTGGCTTTTCTAAAATGCCATTGCAGCTCTAATCGCCTTGTAATAGAGTTGTCAAAAAAAAGTGTGATTCTGTGTGAAATTATTGTATATCTGAAGTTATAAATGTACAAATTGGCCACATCTGTTTGTGTATTTGTCTTTTTCCTCATCACATTATTCATAACAAAATACCCGTATGACTGATTTGAACGAACACTCCGCTTTATTTGGGGATAAAATGAAAACCTAGGCTGTTGCACATTACAGCAGTCAACAAAACAACAACAACAAATGAACAGTATGTCGATCTGTGGCGCAGGTGCCTCCATCACCCACATACAATTGGGGACACGTGAGATCATCCTCAACGTTTGCAGCCTCTTGAACCTTTACTGCGGCGCTGATTCTCCAGCTCTCTGTGGGCGACCATGACCCTACGACTAGAAGATGGATGATTCACTTTAAATAACCTCAATCAATACCTTTTTTCCCCCTCAGTATTTTAAGCAGAGGATGAGTGAACATTTTAGGACCATAGTTCATGTCCTTATTTTAGATTTTAATTTGCTCTATAAAATGTGTTTCTCTATTGTGGAGAAGTTGTCTTTGGTCTACTACTAAACAACATACATTTTCATTTATTGTCCACATTTCCCCATCAATTTACAATCCACCCCCATCAAAGCTTTTATTTAGAGCTTGAGGAAGGTGCCAAGAAGTCTACTGGTGACGCGCTATCATCACACTCCAGCCAATTAGAGCGCAGCGGTGGGCGTGAGCAGGAGGAAATTGACGAATTATATTGGGAGTCAAAAGTTCAACTGGGAAGAGAGAGGGGGGGGCTGAACACAGAGGGAGTTTAGAGAAATGTGGTTAAGTGGCCCCAAAAGGAAACAAACAATATGTTTGATATGAAGGAATAAGACGTGTTTCTTTACTTTAGAGCGGAGAGTTCTTTGATGAGTCCACAGATCAGGTCTGTGGCATCTTCATGATCTGGGGAACAAAGATCTTCCTCCCTCTCCATCACCTCCTCACTAAATGGGGATATAGTTGGATGGATGAAAAATAAGTGAGGTATGAGCTCAAAAGAATTACTCATTTTTTAATATAGTAGTCACAAAATTGGACGCCACTGTTAAAAATATTGATGTACAAGGAATCCTTCCTGTATAGAGTTGTGGAGACCAAATTTGAGGAGAAGGTTGTCAGACCCACAAACATGCGATTTATGTGGAAAATTAAATTACAAAACACTACAGTTGTTTCAGGGTCTTCTCAGAGTACTCAGGACTTCATCAAACATGTCTCTCTGTGTACGCAGCTTGTTGATATGTTGACTACTACCCCACCCTGAAGTTATAAACCTACAGGAAACACCGCTTTCTGCGCCCCGCTGTCACCGTTCTTGTGCGATTTAACCCCCACTTGCTGCTTCCTTACGTCAGAATGATGGTGTTCAGCTGCGAGTCTGAGACGTAATCCAAGAACCCAGATCCAAACGGGTCAGAAGTGTCCCCGGTCTGAGGGGGCTCAGCGTTCGCAGTAGAAGAACCAGCACCAGGCTCACCATCAGAATCACACTGTGTGCAACAAAAATAAATCAACCATTTCTGTAGAATTACATGGTGAGAAGTAATTTAAATATGTGTCAATATGCTGTTTTTTTGTTTGTTGAGGAGTTAGTGTGTTAGCAAATAATAAATCAACTACCCGACTTTCTAAATTTGCAGTATTTTTCTTAAATACTGTATTTTCCGCACAGATTAAAAGGCGCACCTTCAACGAATTACCTATTTTAGAACATTTTTCATACATAGGGCGCACCGGATTATAAGACGCATAAAATACTGCAGTCAAACGTTTTACCTGGGTCTGCGTTATGCTAGGGGGACCAGACGTCCTCTTTTCCCCGGACATGTCCTCTTTTTGAGACCTTTGTAGTTTCCCAGTCGTACCGAAACATATTTATTATTAGTGGTTTTTCATACTGAAACATTTTGACAGAGTGGATCAACCAATTGATCCATATATAAAACGCTCCGGATTATAAAACGCACTGTCGTTTTTTGAGAAAATGAAAGGCTTTTAAGTGCGCCTATAGTGCGGAAAATACGGTACTTGAACGAACACAACGAAAGCTCAATATTATGAGCTTTACCGGACCGGTAAATTTAAAGTCTGTCCCACCACTCACAGTGTTTTTCATCTCTGATCCACTGGGTGTCACCGGAGCCTCGCAGGGCTGCACCGCCGCGACGCCTCCTGGGCGCGTGTGCGTGGACGAGGCGCCTGCCTCAGCTACGTCACCGTCCCTTTCCTCACCGGGCGACTCTTCCCCTCTTGTCCTGGTCACACTGTTCACCGGCAGCAGAGCGGCCTCCGCGGCATCCCGGTTCTCGGTGTCGTCACTCTGCGGCGTTTTAGAGGAACCGGTGATGGCGGCACTCCGGTCGACTGCTGCTGACCCGTCATTCCCGCCTTTCAATTGCAGTTGAATACGTTTTTCAGCCACAACCTCCGCAGTGCCTCCCTCGTGTTCCTGCTGCGACTGATTCCCCAAAAGCTCCTCCTCATTCTCCACTGCAGGTAGGTCTGACTTCGGGGCGCCAGTTGGCTCTGGACCGGGCCTCTCGCCTCCCTCAACCTCACAACTATTTCCCTTTGAGCAGCCTGGGTCGGACACGACACACGAAGCAGTGTGGACTTCAGGTTCCTCCCTGTGTGTCACAAAGAAGGTTAACAACATTAGGGAAGTAACACATTTGATTTAATCCTGTTAGCGTAATCGAATATCTTTGTTGTGTTTTCACTGGTTGATATAAATAATTCATTTTTTTGTGATATTTACCACATTATATTTGGATTTCTCACTACATTATTCTGACCTGTCTTCCCCTCCACAATGACTAGACTGCAGGTTCATCTCTGCCTTTTCCTGCTCTGCACCATTGCCTTCTTGGACGGACAGCGAGGGGGATATTGACGATACAATCTCTTCCTCAGACGCAAGGTCAGCTGTGTTACTACAGATCTGCTTTGTATCTCTCTCCGGTAAATTCTGCCCGTTCTCATTTTTTGTGGTTTGTAAAAAGTGACTGCGCTCCCGCTCTGTCAGACCACACATACCCATCCTTCGCTTCTTCTTGGCCGGCAACCCCGCTGCTGCCTCCTTTGCGTGTTCCTTGACATCAGTCATGTACACCTTGCTAACTTCTTGTTTTTTCTCAAAATGACATGAGTTCTCCTCCCCGCTCAGCTGATCCCCCAGAGCAGCATCATCACCCTCTTCAGAAGCCGGTGAGAAGACCTGGAGTTGATCCGTGCATGTTTGGGATGGCGATGTGTTAAATTCCTCTGCCGTCATTTCCTCCTTATCCTTTTCAGCCCTGTTTCCATTGTTATCGGCATGACTTTTGAGGCCCTTTAGCTGAGAGTCACTGCTTGGATCTGCGGCTGCAGTCGCTTCTCTCTCTTCGGGTGCTTTAACAGTAGGTTCCTGCAGAGGGGAGTGGTGGCATTGTAACAGCGAGGCATCCACTGTTGTATGACCTCCTTTAGCGTCCTAAAATATAAAAAAAACATAGAACTCTAAAATGTGGCCTGATAAGATGAGAATATGCAATATGAGTTTGGTTTAAATGATATTGCCTGATCATCAGTCTCTGAGGGTCCATCACTTGGGAATTCCCTCTTCCTTGACCTGAGGGACCGAGGCTGAGCTGCGCTGACTTCACACATAAGGATCAACTCAATTTAAATTCAAATGAGCAAATCGATGATAGTGAAGCAATTGTGAATCACATTTTCTTTCTAATGCAGAATATTGTTTCTGCTCAACAGCACATCATAGTTAGCCGTGTAATGGATTTACCACTGCTGCTGTTGGTCTTTGCTTTTCCTTTGGCCATGTCTTTGTCCTAAATGAGAAAAAAACGAGTACTTAACATAAACTATTCCTAACGAGACTGTTGTGTCTGGTTAGTTTACAGACTAACTACTAATGTTAATGTTAACGTAACATGCAGCTAGCTAACATTAACAATTTACGTTTACTGACTGACTGAAGATGTAGAAAATGTGTCCAATGTTACCGGGTGTGCTTGCTGAGTTTAAAAAACCAAAACCATCGATGACGGTTAAGTTTCTCAGTCGTACACGTTCATCCACCCACCTGAGCCGAGCGTCTGCCGCGTAATGTCACGTCGGCGTTTTACGTCAGTGGCGTTCCGTCCCGCCGTAAAGCGCAACGCGGGTTGCCACTGGAGACGCAATGTAGGAAGTGAATTCCACAGTTTACCGTTCTTGTTTTGACAGCTCAAACTTCACGTTAAATTAGTCGCCTGCATGTGAATGTTGTCTCTCTTCTATCATTGTTTCTGAGCAGTTTCTCCACTTAAATAACCGACCGGACCGGCAGAAACACCGCGGCGCGTCGCACCGTCCAGGTAAACAGCTTAGTCCACGGGCAAGGGAATAGTTAGTGTTGTCAGCTAACGCTTTAGCACCGCAATGCTAACTCAATACAAAAACAGCTGAGAAAAACATTATTACTCAGAACGGCACAAAGCGCCAGCGCCTCCTCGGTGTACCAGCAGTGCGTGCTGTCAGTTCTGGTCACGTCCGTCACAGTTGTCTCCTTCTTTCCACTGGCTCGACTAAATTGGATCCTTCCTTAACTTTTAGGCTCGGTCCATGAGACGCAGTCGGAACCCGCCCCCCCGGGGTCAAGGGGCAGCGCGAGCCAAACAGGTAACATCCGTCATGTGTGTGATAATGCGATGCGTGGACGGTGACACGTCAACAACAGGTGTGATTTGACCTCCGTCTGCCTCGCTGTGGCTCAGATGGGGCTGCTGCTGGACCTGACCCCCGACGGGGGGGTGGATGACGGGGGGAATGATGAAGAGCTGGAGGCAGAGCTTCTGAATCTGGTGGGAGGAGGTGGAGGGAGATCCCAAGGGAAGAAGGGTGACGGCAGAGGTGAGAAAGAGTATTTCCATCCATCTCTGATTTGTAGACGTCCGTCTGTGTAAAGGACAGGCTCGTCTTTTCATTCATATTGTGTGGGTGTTTTAGTTGCCATGTGCTGTGTAGGATTTAGTGCTGCTTGTGATGCGTCTGTGTGCCCACAGCTCCGGTTCCCATGGCTGATATAGAGCGAATGGCAGCGCTTTGTATGAAAGACCTGGATGATGAGGAAATGGAAGATGAAGATCTGGATGACGATGAAGATCTGCTGGTAACGCACGCACACTGTTTTTGTCCCTTTCAGAGCTGAAATAAGTAACTGATTAATTGATAAATTGGACATTTATTTGGAACTATTTTTGATTGGGATATTAATTTTAAAGCCGCCATTGACTATTTCTAGCTTCTCTGATGCTGGAAATAGTCCAGCGCGGTGATGTCAATGCTGAATTTGACATCACCTTGCAGTCTAAGAAATTGTAGTAGGAATATTTCACCTCTTTTGTCAGTTCACAGACAAAATCATTTAATTAAGCAGATTAACCGATAATCAAAATATATTCTGAGCTGCATTCCTAATCCCTTTCATTCCACTTGTAATATGATGGTTAATATTAGCTGCTGAATTGCTGGATTCTTTTCACTACATATATGTCTGTTCTCCATACACAGGCAGAACTAAATGATGTTTTAGAGGATGAGGAAGAAACTCCTGCTCCCACCCCTCCTGCCATCACACCGACCGCACCCAAAGTGAGCATCACGTCCCACTCGTCTGCGCCTGCTGCTCCCGGTGGTGCAACTGGGTTGGAGTCTCTCCTACTGGAGCGCGCTGAAATGTATAAAGTGGCCATTTCAAATGCCAGGGTTGCAGGGGACACAAGCAAAGTTCGAAGATATGACCGTGGAGCAAAGGTAAAGTGGAGAAGGAAGAGGGAAACTCTTTATTCAACCTCTAAACAGGTTGACCACCATACTTTACCTTCAGTCAAACTTGTTTTTATATGTCCAAAAAGGCAACAAATGAGACTTGATATAATAAAACACTGCAACTTTTTCTTTTTTATGATATAAACTTCATATTGTTATTTCTTCTCTTCTCCAATCTCAGACACTGCAGTCCATGTTGACATCGGTCAGGAAAGGAAAACCAGTCAACGAGGAGGAGATACCGCCTCCAGTTGCTCTCGGTGGAAAGCCCAACGTCACAGACGAGTCTGAATCGATCAGAAAGGAGCGAGAACTGCCGGTCCCCACGCTGATGCCCTCTACTCCCACGAACCAGAAACCTCTAAGGGAGGCTGCGCCGGGACCTCCCAATATGAAGCCACTCCATCTGACCGTGACCCCAAAGCCCGCTGCTGCCTTAACCCCGGGAACGCCGGTTATGTCTCCCCTCACGCCCGGTTACCCGGACTCACAACACTCAGGTAAACTCACATGAAAGCATGCAGAGGACGTTGTGGAGCTACTTTCAGTACTGTGTACCCTGTACTGGATATAAGAGCAATCTTAAAACTTATAACCGTATAATCACTGGAAAAAATAGTGAGATCTTTACATCTACATAGGGAACGACTTCTCTACACGCAGTCTGTCATAACACACCTCTATGTTTCTACAAAAACCCTGAACGGCAAACACCTACAATCACTGGCTCTGGAGAGGGCCACCCACGTTTTTCAGCCACCGTAGTTCTCCTACGCACTTCTTACAATGGGCTTTGCGCACTACACCTTTTTTAATGTCTTTATTTCTACTAGAGAGTAGTCTGTTGTTGTAAATCTGGTGTGCATATGTTTACGGTTGTTGGCATTTATCAGTTGCATACTTTTCCTCATCAACTGGTGATCAGATTTCCTAATCCAGACATTTGTTAGTGATGTAGTATCAAGAGGGATATGTATTTTGAAATACATAATCAAACATTGGGTAAACAAATATTTATAATAATTTTCAACAAAAAGAAACTGCATGAACGCTGGTCCTCGTTTGTTACCAGGCACTTTAGCTCACCGAGGTCCCTCTAAATGTCAACGTGATCTTCCTTAGGTTGTCTTTTTGTCTTGTTTTTAATTTATAGTGCTTCTAATTTTGTCTCCGTATGACCTCCCTCTATTCAGAGCTGAAACAGGCAGTGCTATCCAGACAGAGGGAGTATAAGATTGCTGCTATTAACGCCAAACAGAACTCTGACATAGAGCAGGCAAAGCAGCACTACCTCACTGCCAAGGTGACACAGCCAATGTCAAAGTTATTACATTAATACATCTATTTGTTGGCCTTCTTGTATATAGAAAAAGTCAATGCTAATGGAGGTGACCTTCCTTGATGCAGAAGCTGGACATACTGGTGGAGGCACTGGACAGAGACGAACCCGTCGACCTGAGCTCACTACCTCCTCCTCCTGGTCAGTGCAGCCACTTTAAAGCGATCCTTAACCTCAACGTTTTTGACCTTTTGTTTTTTATTACTCAAACACTGCAGCCTGATTTCTTTACCAAACATATTTTACTCTGATTGGATCAAGGAGAAGGACACTCCCATTATTGCACTATGGTCTTATTTATTGAATTTTCTAAGGCTTTTCATTGTGTCGATCACTGCATATTAATAAAACATTGTTCAATAGATCACAGGTTCATGATGGCGATTTGTATGCGCCTGGCTGGATTCCAAACAAAGTAATTAATAGATTACAGACTGCCTTTAAAGTTCTTTAGACATCACTGCTAAACCTCAAATGTGATTGTTAATGACATAGTTAATATCATGCTTGTGTATAACTTGCTGCTTCTTACTTGGTGGAGTAAAGGTTATGATGATAATGATTATAATCTCAACCTCTCCACTGATGTCTTGTCTTTTGCAGGTGACGTAGTAGCAGAACATTGTGCACCTCCTCCTCCTCAATCTTCCTCTATTCCTGCTGCCCCCGCTGCACCTGCATCCACCCATGAGGCCGCTGCCGGTAAAACCAGTGGCCCCGGTCCTTATTTATTATGATAGAAATGTCTCATGTTGAATTCAAAGAAAGTGTGCGTGTCGTGCACAGACCTCCCTGTTCCCAGCACTGTGGCAGAAGCCCTGCAGCAGAGGATGGACACGTACAAGTCAGCTGCAGAGGGAGCCAAGAGCAAAGGAGACGATCGTAAGGCTCGCATGCACCAGCGCATTGTCAAGGTACACACCATGACCTTTTGTCACAGCCTAATCATGTACCCCCCCCCCTCCCACCTCCCCCAAAGAAAAATACAAATAAAGCATACTTACAGCTAAATCTAATTTAGCTTTAGATATTCTCTTCTTGTGTTCCCAATGCTCATGTTTGGTTTTGTGTCTCTCATTTCCCTGAATAACTGCTGTGTGACTCACTTTATTTGAACTGGAAACACCTTCTGTGGCTTTCGCTGTAACCACTTTTTATCGACCAGAATGTGCTAAAGTTCGTCTCATTCTTTGAGGATTGTTTAATGCAGTGGTCCCCAACCTTTTTTACCTCACAGACCGTTTTCATGTCAGACAATATTTTGCGGACCGGTCGAGAAGGTCCGACGGGGGGGGGGGGGGGTGTAGTAGTCTCGCGCGCTGTGTTCGCTGGTGGGCGAAACTGCCGTGTACGGTAAGAGGACAATTGTAAACGTGAAGAAAAACGCCTGGTGACGCGTGGGGAATATGTCAGAGGGACGAGTGCACATAATTAGGAGAAAATCCGGTCAATTTTCAAAATAAAACATTTTTCAACAAAAAATAAAATATATATATATATGTATATATATATATATATATGTATATGTATATATATATATATATATATATATGTATGTATATATATAAGCTTTGCTTAGCTGTAGTGCGGCCCGGTACCAAACGGCCCACGGACTGGTACCGGTCCGCAGCCCGGTGGTTACGGACCACTGGTTTAAGGGTCATTTCGGGGAAAATATTAAACCTTTGACCTTTTACGGTAGATTTGACTGAGGTAGGCAGGGTATATATGGTTGTTTGTTTGACAATGCTAATGATATATTTCATAATAAATTTGGATAGTAGGACAAAAGCAAGGACATGTTTAATAGCAATGGAGGGATTCAATGACTATGGCAGAGTAACACTACCAGGATATAATAATTTACAAGTAGTACAAGTGTGCAATTCTCCTTAATTGCAGACTTATCAACCATCTCCTCTGTTACAGCAATACCAGGATGCCATTAGAGCTCACAAAGCTGGACGACCTGTCGACCTGTCCGACCTACCTGTGCCGCCAGGTAACTTTCTCCGAGAGTGTTTCAGAATTGTGTCTCTGCTGCAATATAAAGTGTTTCGGGGCAGTCATGTGTGTGTTGCTTTTCTAGGTTGTCCTCCACTTCAGGGCTCAGAGGGGGGTCAGCAGAACTTCATGGGTGTCCTGGAAACGGCCATGAAAATAGCTAATCAGGATGCAGACGCAGAAGATGAAGAAGAGGACGAACAAAGAGAAGCAGCCAAGGTTATAAATATACAAAGCCACCACCAAATGGTCAAGATGATTGTTTGCCTTTTGAGCAAGACGAGCAGCGTTTTACTTTTTGCCAGACCAGCTTCTGTGCCCGCTTATTGACTGTTGGCTCTGCTGCACCATTTGACTCTTACATCAACATCATGCCTCACTGTAAATTGCCGGAAAGTGATAACTCACTGGTTTTATCTCTCTCCCTTCCTCTCCCATCTTGCTCTGCAGCCTGCAGTGCGCCCACCTGCCCAGAAAGCCAAGTCTCCAGCTCCTCAGGCCCCCGGAGGCTCCGCGGCTCTGAAACTGGGCCCTAGAGGTGCATTCAGAGTGTTCCGCCTGTCTGCCGTACAATGTACCGTACAAGGAATTAGAGTGCTACATGAGGCAGAGTTTCACTTCTTTTTCTCTTAATTATCCTTGCAGCCCAGCACCAATTGGATTTCCTGTTGCTAAGGCGACAGGCTTTCATGCGTGCTGCGCTGCGCTCAAAACAAATGAAGGTAAGCTGGGTCTTTCTTTTTTCTTTTTTTTTCTCGCTGATAGATTCCCTGGCATCTTTATATTTTGGTCGATGTTCTTTAATTGGAGTCTTGAAGTCTTAATCTGTGGAGTTGCTGCCGTGTGATTTGTTTGTAGGACATGACCGGAGCAGCGCAGCACCTCAGACACGCCAAGGGACTGGATCCCATGGTCACTGCTGCCAAGTCCGGCCTACCTGTTGATATCACAAAGGTCATGCATATGTTCTGTTCAAATGAATAAAATACAGGAAGATGCAGAGCTACTTTGTGTGCGTATGACATGTTGCTATAGGAGCAACCAAAAGCTTAAGAGGGTACAGAAATAGAAGATGGTAGTAAGAAAGCAGCGTTGAAATGAAAACACCTTTGTGCTCACCGAGGCCGCACATTCTGTGTGTTTGTGGGTAAGTGTGAGGGTGTGTGAGTTTATTAGCATTTTGTGACTTTCCTTTATTAATATTTCACATAGTTCCCACGTCAATTTCTTTCATTTTTTCCTGGCTTTAATTTGAACACCTTTGTTTCAAATAACCCATATACTTTGCTGTGACCCCAGCATGTAATTACCAAGAATATTAACTCTGTTCCTCTGTTAGTTTGTCTTCCCGTCCGTCTGAGGAATATCACACAAGCTTAGAAACATCCATTTCTGGTGGACGTATTCCTTTCGTTTCGATTCGTATTTGTGATTGTCTCCTTCCTGACAGATTCCCACTGCTCCAGTCAGCGAGGAGGACTACTCCCTGGCTCGCTCCCGCACCTCCCCTCTCTCCTCTCGCTCCAGTGAACAGTACCATGGCCTCATGGCTCTTCTGCGGAAGCAGCATGAGGTCAGGGCTCACCTTTCTGTTCTTGCTTAATGTGTATTATATAAGAAAGAGCACCTTCTAAATCCTGCTCTGCATGCGTCAAAACTGATGCTGATATGATGTTGTGGTCATGATAATGGCCTTAAGAAATTGTTCATCACTTTTCTATTAGTGGAGCATTTTAAAAAGACTAATCCCAATAGTTGTGTATCACATTGTCTTGGCTATTGTGTGTTTGTGTACCAACGCCTTCTTTTGTTTGGTTTCTCTACAGAAATGTTTGGGATACTCTCAACAGCTCATTCTTTTGGGCAATGTGGCTGAGGCTCTAAAGTAAGATACCTGGTTCTGGTATATTTGTGAATTTAGTTCCATGTGTTAAGCTACAGAAGACATCAAGACGATTGATTATTTATTTGACATCGTCACACCTACAATGACAAAGATCCTCCTCATTTGCTAGAGACAGTTTCTTCAAACTGCTGAACGTCCAACGGTAACAAACCCATAGAAATACATTTTAAATCCCATTAAGAACTCAAAACATGCAAATTGTTACACTTGAGAAGCTTAATTTTTCATGTACCTTAAAATATGAAAAGTTACATTTTCTCTTATCAAGATACTAAATTTCTTCCGTTAAAAATGCCGAAATACATGTATTCGTTTTATCCACCAGCGTACTGTGGGGTTCTACCACTGCTGTCCATGCAGGGATCAGACTTGCAGTCCATGGACTTCATATGAGATCAGATCAGTTGTGTGTAACGATCCTTCTCCGTTTCTCACCAGGTTTGAGAAGCTGGTGGAGGAGTGTATGAAGAGCATCGACATACTAAAGAACGCCCACGCCAAGGGCCACCCGGTCCCCAAGTGCCGCACCGAGGAGAGGACCTGGAACACTGTCAAGTCAGCAACAGACTTACAATAATACTCAGTTATAATGTGTTTTCTTGGAATTACAGGAATTTTGATTTAATGCCACGTTTAGGCATTCTTCTCAAATTCTTCCTTGTTTCTATTGCATCACATGTCATTTAGCTGACGCTTTTATCCCAAGCGGCTTTCAATAAGTGCATTTCAACCATAAGGATACAAACCGAAGAACAAGAAACAAAAAAGTGTAAATTCATCAAATAAGATATTTTACATTTTTTACAACATATTTTATATTATTGCATATTTGATGATAAAGATTCTCATCGCGTACATCGGATGACTCATGTACCTGACGGGATCGGTAGATGAGTCAGATTGACTCACTCTGCCCGGTGTCATATCGAGCTAACAGCTCTGTGACTCATAAACAGTCGGGATCGGTTGGCGTTGGGGAATGCTGACTGGTTGTTGTCTGTATGCTGCCGTTTCCAAATGGTTATGACCCCTGTTTTTTTTTTGTTTTTGTTTTTAGGATCCACAACAGCCTGACACCAAATGACCTGATGCTGTACATCATCAAAGGCATCAACCTACCGTGTCCCACCGGTACTAATGGCAGCGCTGCATCTTTAATAACCAGGCTGTAATGTGTCAGCAGCATGTTCTCTCACACCTCCCTCTCTGCCTCCAGGTGTCTCGCCTAACGATCTGGATTCCACTGTGAAGTTTGAGTTTCCCTTTCCTAGTGCGGTAAGAATCTCTCTCGCTCCCTGAGTCGATTATGTGTGTCACACTCTGGTTGTATCCAGATGTGTTTTAATGCATTTATTCATCTGCGTGTAGGAGGATGCTCAGAGGGACAAAACGGGCACTGTAAAGGGCACCAACAACCCCGAGTTTAAAGAGACTTTCAAACTCAACATCAACCGCACCAACCGAGCCTTCAAACGAGTCATCCAGTCCAAAGGCATCAAGTTCGAGATTGTCCACAAGGGGTAGAAAACACAGCATCTCTGGGACCACACAAGCAGATGCTTCCCAATGTATCCTCAACATTTGTCCCGTGAATGTCGTGGTTGTTATGTCTTTGACACTCGTGCTCTTCTCTCTGTATTCACAGAGGCCTGTTTAAGACCGACAAAGTTGTGGGCACTGCTCAGATGAAACTAGAGGCCTTAGAAAACCAGTGTGACGTTAGGGAAATAATAGAGGTGGGTGTCGTTAGCACAAGACACAAATGCATACGCACATGTACAGTTCCATCCAACAGTGTGTTTTGTAGGTCATGGATGGACGGAAAGCCACCGGTGGGAAGTTGGAGGTGAAGGTGAAGATCAGAGAGCCTTTAACAGGAGCTGATCTCCAGGCGGTGACGGAGAAGTGGCTGGTTCTCGATCCGGTGTCCTCTCTTTCTCCTCCAGACAGACAAAAGGAACAAACAAAAGGAAGGGTGAGTCAAGTTTAATGACCAGAGAAGGTTTGATGAGATGAGGAAAAGAGGATTTTCGAGCAGGGCTGCAGATTATCGTCAGTTCAGCGAAGTCTCACTGTTTGTTTGTTTGTTTGTTTGAATCAGGCTCCATCTCCTCGATCTAAACCCAAACATGAAGCAAACAGCAGACCGGAAACGAGCAGCAGACAGGAAGCGAGCAGCAGGAGCAGTCATCCCAGCAACTCCCCTCCACAGTACAAACTCCACAGCTTCAGCCTCCTCAACTATGACAAGGAGCGGCTGGAGAGAAAGGTATATGCGTGAGTTTATGCATGTGTGCTCCAAGCCCGTCCAAAGCATCCTCTAATGCGAAGGTTTCGCCCTCACTGCGCCCGTCTCTCAGATCGCAGAGTATCGAAAGGTGCAGCGGCCTCCCCCATCTGACCTCGTCCTGCAACACAAAGAGGTCACGCACAGGCTGCAGTGGCAGAAAGCGCAGCTGGAGCGAGGCTCCTCTAGTCTACTCGCCGGTACCTCTCACAGAGAATACACACAAGTATTTACTTTACTGCCACGTTTCCGTGTATGCCTCAACCTCTCAAACGCCGACGTCTTCCTTTACCACGTGTGTAGAGTATGAAAACGCCCTGCGGCGCTCCTTCCAGGGGTATGCTGACTCCGTGAAGAAACACTCCAGCGAAGGCAACAGGGTGAGTACAGGTGGAACTTGTGTCTGTGGTTTTTTGGGGGGGATTGGGCCTCATTGTGTAAACACTCAGTGTGTTTACACGATGGTATAATTGGAATCTTTGCTTAGTCGGACTATGCTCTCTTTCGGGGCAAGTGCTATTATCCCAATATACATGGCAGTGAATAAATCGAATCATTGGCCGAAAGCATGTCATATCCGATACGATAGGTGGCGCTGGTTTCATTACAACTAGTTGTGATACAGCCATTTCCGCTTGACCGCTTCACCACCAACAACAACAACATCAACATTACGAGTAAGATGGCGAACGGAGAGCAAGGTGAAGCTACATCCCTCTACTATGTGTGCATGATGTTAATAGGAGCACAGCGAATGCGAATGGCGCTATTGGCTGATTTGATAACGGAGAGAAGACGCCGTCGGGATCTCAAGCATCCGCAAAGACGCAAAGTCCAGTTCCTCATCCGATTCACCGTTACATGCCGCAATAGTCAAACTATCAACTGGATCGGATGGAGTTATCAGGGGGTGTTAGTCGGATCGTAGTCGGACCGCACACAGTCGGACAAAGGTGTTTACATGAAACGGATAACTCGATTTCAGTCCGACTAAGCCAGTTATTCGAATCCATGTAACCACGCTGACTGTGTCATTGTCTTATTATAGGACGCTGCCAAGGATGCACTCGGCAGGTTTAAGATGGTAGAAACCGAGGTGAGGTTTATCAATGTAAAGAAGTGTTTCCTTCTAATGTCTGTGTATTTGATGTACAATATCATGTACTCTCTTCCTGCTACAGCTGGAATCGCTGTTAAGGAAACGCGCAGGATAAGAGGAGAGTGAAGGAGTGGATCCCTGGCTTTAGTACTGTTATATCATAAATATATATATATATATATATCTCTCGTTCACATACAAACACTACATCGGGGACTTAAAGCATCTTTATGATTCTATTCTGCTCTTTTTTTCATTGAAACTGCACGTAAGACTAGCGGGATAAATCTGTCAACTGATCATATCATCGTGTCATGTGTCACTTTGTGGTTTGTCCCCTGCAACAGTGATTAGAAAGGAACCTGTAACTACAAAGGGACACCGAAATCATAGTAAGCATCAAAATGTTATGTTATGTTCTACGTGGAAGGATTGTGCTTATTTGCATTTTCACACTAGTGAAAGCTGCTCCTGAAGAACACCGTAACCTACGCCACAATCACTTTTTATTCCTGTCTTTACTTTGAGAATGGGTGCTGGAAATGTATGAGTTTTACGTTTTGCACCAGGCCCGAGAGGCATGTGTGTGCGTGTGTGCGTGTGTGTGTGTGTGTGTGTGTGTGCGCGCGTGTTCCGAAGTGTGTTTAACCAATGGGGACGGGAGTTTTTAACCCCTCTTCCCATATTTTCTGCGTGTAATGAGCTTAATCTAATCTGTCTGCTCCAGTGTTTCCAGATTACAGTAATCTGCTGCGTTTGGAGTGGTGTGATATGGGAATAAAAAAAAAAAACGGGGTTTTGGGGCACCGCAGCCTACATCCCATAATGAGGGATTAGTGTTTGTGTCACCAAGGAGACGACTAGATCAGACGTAGTCGCCTGGGGGCTGGGGAGAGGGGGTGTTCGCTGCGTGGCATGATTGTGGTGGAAGCTTAGCCCTGCAAAAGGATTGCTGCTTCTTCTTCTGCATCTTCATCAGCTGTTTCTTCTTTGTTGTCTTCTTCACTTCCTTCACAGTAATTCCTTTTGCGTGTGTTCAGAGAGAATTCAAAGTGTTTCTATTTGGATGTTCTTTAAATACTTAAACAATATTAAGCCCATTATGCTGTTGATTTAAAAAAAATGATTATCAGCTGCTGTGTCAGCGTGCTGCTATTTTGGCAGTTTACAAAACCGGAGTCTGTCCCGCTGAGCGCTCCAGCAGCAGCGCAGTGGGGGCTGAACAGTCAGCCCAAAGGAAGAGAAGCCAACATGTGCCAGTGAGGCCAGCTAATTGCTCATTTCTATTTCTGTCGCTCCACAGACATCCCTGCCATAGGCGTCCTTGATTATCCCTCTCACTTTACGTTTACTATGACCATAAAGTTAAGGGTACAAAACCCAGAACAGTCCTGTAAAACTTCACAAGGAGTGTGAAAAATCCAGATGTCTTAAAATTAATAATTTTGCCACAGCAACTGGTACAACATCATGGGTTCACTATTCTGTTCAGTACTCTGGACCAATGGTTGGTGTGTGTGTGTGTGTTGTGTGTGTGTGTTTGTTTGTTTGTTTACGTGCACGACAACCAGCTAAACTGCGTGCAGTCCACAGCGGATTGTGGTGGTCCTCATTGATTGTATGCAGCCAGAGAAGGAGCAGATGTCTTCAAATGAGCTGCTGTGTTTCATTTGACTCTTCAATGTGGAGGATGTCTGTCGACTTGCTAACAGTTTTTTAGTCATGTGACATCGCAAAGAATCGTGTTTGTCCTCATCCACCCACTGCCTCACCACATTAGCAAATAATCCTGGTTAAAGTTGACCTCACAAGGCCCTCCACAGTCTGTTTTGATATTTATGTCACATCCCTTCCCCCTGATTGTTTTTACTCCATCAGGAGATGGATATCTTCTGACTCTGTAAGCGGTTGGTGGTGGTGCTTTTGATCAGCTGATCTTCATTTAAATGGCAATGGAAGGTCTAATTCCTGTTTATATCGACGTGGTAAACTTTCAGTTTGATTTACAGTAATCTTAAATGATTATAATGATTATTTAAAAGTTTGTTTGTTTATGCGTGTGTGTGTATTTGCGCATGCGCAACTTTACCTCTTTAACTACAAATCTTGGACACAAAACATTTTTTGCTGACAATTTTTAAATGTATACAGTTTTGCTTTCAATGCGTTTTACTGATTGTTCCAGGTGGCCAATAGTTTCAGTGCACAAACATTTAAACACTTTCCGTATTGCAGTTTGGATGGATATTTATTCAAAAAACTTTACATTAACAATAAAATCTTGATACAACTTTGACCAATTTGATATACAACTCAAGCAAAGACAATTTGCTTGAGTTGCAACTTGTTATGTCAGACTAGCTCTCCAGAACCCAGAGATATTCAGTGTACTATTGGTTAAGACAAAGAAAAGCAACACATTCTCAAACTTCACTTGGATAAAGGGAATGTTTGTTGTGTAGAGCTTTAAAAATTCCTTAGAAGATTGGATTATTAAATGGATAAATCATGCTTCACATACAAAACTTGAATAAACCTTTCTGAAACACAGTAACCGTTTTGTATTCTGAAGGACGAGCATTGCTGCAAACTATACATCCTTTGAATGCCTCTAAAATATGGGAAACCCCCCAGTTTGGTCTTTTTTGACAGAAAATGCTTATTTTTATTTTTTAATATACATTTTTTATTTCCAAAGCCATGTAAAGAATATTTAGATCTGGCTGCAGCACTCGCATGCTTTAACACCGTTAAACACACCCACAGAAACGACAAGTCAGCAGCAGCTCCTTTCTTTAACTCCAAAACCTTTAACCCCATGTCACCTCAGACACACAAACACTGCTGCTCGGGTAACCTCATGGCCTCACAGGCAGTCCTGTTGTCATGCCAACAGGCTCATCAGAATTCAACAGTCTGATGCTCAGGTCCTGGGGAGATGGATATATTGTTAAGAGTTTGTCTGGTGACTCACGTTCCTTTCTTGCATTCACGAGACAACGCACACACACACACATACGTCATATTTACTTTTTTTAAGGATTCATTTGTCTGTCATCTGTCTGCACTACATTCTTTTAAAAAGAGACATTTTGGTGGATTGTTTGTCGTTATTGTAAGTATCGCCCTCCTGATCTGCTGCAGTAAATGTAATCATCTGGGCTTGGAAACATGTGTTTCTTCTATTAAGTCTTTTAAAGGCAATCAATATAAAGGCAATATTTGTATACAGTAAATATACAGCATAATATGCTTGGTCTCTTTTTGAGTTTAAGTCATGATGACTTGTGCAGCTCAAACGGGGAAATGTGCGAAGGCCTTATTTTTAAGGCTTTCAATATTAAAGTCTGTATTAGATTGTTGAAATGAATAAAATACTGGAACAATACTGGCTTTGTGTCTTTTTATTAGACCAAAAAGTCCTGATCAGATCTTTCCTATTTAGACTGATTTCTAAACAGGAGCTCAGAACCACTGCCTGTCCGTTTTCATCAGCCTGACAACTTCTATTTTATAATTGGAGGAGGATATATTGGGAGTGATTACATGTTTCTGAAGTCTACTGGGGAAAATTCAGTAAAACTGAGTTATTGATCTCGACTCTGGCAAGTGTGATTAGTGTTTACAGTACTTTTAATACAGCGTGTCACCCAGTTCCCCAAAACGTTTGTACAAATGTTCCAATCATGAAGATCCAGGAGAAACAAACTACTGCAACTGGAGGTCATTTTTGATTAGACTGTGTACATATTCAATGTAAAATACTGACTTGTTTGGTGTGATGTTTTGCGTCTTCACCATCGCATATGTAAGCAGTTTGTGACAAAGGGTCAAACACTTTTCTCCTTAGTGGGTTTTATAAGGAAACAATATTGGTTGGTTTTGTAATAATGAATACTATTTATTTCCCCAGACGCTGAGGTTTGTGACAGGTAGTAAGTGTCTAAAATATATTATATCTATAAATCTAAAAATAAATAAATCTATATATTAATTAAAATGGAAGCGAAATCATGCGTATCGTCTTACAGACAATGCTTTTTTGGGGGGGGTGGAGGGGGGCTCGGGATTTGGTGTTATGCTAATAGCGCGTTTGAATGTGAGCGTCCCCCCTGACAAAGGGAGAAAGGAGAGGGGGATGGTGCACAGGAACACGAGGGGGGGGGGGAGTCTTGGTGGGCGTGGCCACGGCGGCGAGGGCTTCCTGCTCGGCCGAACACGTGGTTCCGCGTCCCTGCTCCTCTGTCAGTGTGTGTGAAGGTTCCCAGCCCTTCTCTCACTCCTTCTCCCCGCCCGTCCTCCCGTCCAACACGGCAGACCCTCTCCTGTCTGTACACCGTCCCACCCGCCTGCCACCTCCCCCTTCCTCCTCCTCCTCCCCCGCCTCCTGCCGCCACGCTTTCCTTCTCCTCCTTGCGACGGCTACCGGGACTACCGACCGCCAGGCCGCGGTCCCTTCAACGTGTACCCGCTCAGAGAGGAAGAGAAAGCGAGAGAGAGAGAGAGAGAGAGGGGGGAGCGGTGTGCGACGAGTGAGTGAGTGAGTGAGTGAGAGTGCGCGTGCGCGCAACCGGTCCACCCGTGATATTTCTGCCGCTATCCCGCCTCGTTCCTCTCGGTCATGACGCTGGAAGCGATCCGCTACCGCGCGGGGTCTCTGCAGATCCTCAACCCAGCTGCTGCTGCCTCACCAGACCGCGTACGAGGAGCTGCGCTCGGTGCAGGACGCCTTCGAGGCCATCAAGTGCATGAAGGTACGGAGCCCCTTTCTCTCCTTTCTCTCACTCGCCACCCCCCCTCCTCCTCCCTCCCCTATTCCCCTCTCTCCCACTTGCCAGCCGCCGCCCCCACTGCTTGTGCATTTATAGCCGTCGTGCATGTTATTTCTTTTTTTTTTTTTATTGGGTCTTTTTGTGTTGCCAGACGCTGTCCGCCGTGCTCTCGCTGCTGTTGGCCTGTATTTTTGTTTTGGATGCACCTGCAGCACTCTTCTCTTCCCCACCCCACAACCGTCCTTTATGCACAGCCTTCACATTATCATGTGCAAGTGCGACAAACTAGGCATCTGCACACGGTCACCCACCCGTGGAATTCCATATGCCCCCTCCCTCTTATCTCTTTGGGAGAAATTATTGATGAATTATTAATGACCTTTGCCAGGGTTTTTTGTTCCCGTTCGGCGCCCCCAGCTCATTTCTCCCTCCACCCATAAAGACGGGTAGACGGGAGGGATGCTGATAGTTGAATGATGTTCAAGCGCCCAACAGCTGGGGACGTTTTCATAGTTTCACTTATCAGGGCCGAGCAGATCTTCACTCTTTTGTCCCCCTGGGTTTCACACACAGGCGGCAGCTACGTGAAGGAATGTTCCATAGGCAGACGGGGTGATGTCATGGTAATAACGGAGTCTAATGTCAGAGAGAGAGTGAGACATCAAGACCGATGATTTCATTTTGGCTCATTGATCAACCACTTACAACTCTGTAGAGGAGAGGGATCATTAATCCTCACTGAAACAGGGAGAGACGTCTGCTGGAAGTTTGCACAGAGACCAAAGACGAAGACTCGCCCCATGTGATGCTAGCTCTCCTCTTCCTCCTCCAGGTCCGCGGCGCCCCGGCCATCGCCATTGTCGGCTGCCTCAGCCTCGCTGTGGAGTTGCGGGCAGGTGCCGGGGGTGACGACCCCGTGACCTTCATCAGAGAGTCTCTGTGTCATCTGACTTCAGCCCGTCCCACGGCCGTCAACATGGGCCGCGCCGCCCGCGAGCTGATGGAGTTTGCCGAGAACGAGAGCATGGAGAAGAACTCTGAGCAGCTCAGAGAAAGGTGGGCTGGTTAGAGGGAGATCTCGCTGCACGCCGCGTGTTGTGGTTGGTTTGTGGCCCTTCAATTAAAGGACGGGTTTAAATACTTCACATCACCACTTAAAATCACCATCCTTGTTTTAGAATTGTATTGTATTTAACTAATTTTTTTTTTTTTTTTTATCAACCCCCGACTTTGTCAGGGGTGAATAAAATGAGGACATTCATGGAACCATGTTTGCCACAAACGCTCATTTTGGGCCTAACCCCCCATGTCTGTAAATGAGTGCTTGTTTAGAGCACAAATTAATTTATTAACTTCTCAGCCGTCCTACTTTTCCATTTCCACTGATGTACTGGTGGTGCTCAGCAGGGAGGATGAATAATGTTGGCTAGTAAACATGCAGACCATGTTTGCTAAATGCCTGTGTTTTATGAAAATTACACAATTGTCACCCAATTCCTTGAATTTCAAAAAGGTAAAAAAAGGAGGTCGATGGTCACTTCATCAGCACTGAGCATATATGGGTTACTCGTCATATAAAACCTACTCTGTGAATTAAAATGATCAGAGATTGTGCCTTTCTTGTGCACAAGTTAGCCGCTGAGGCACCAATTCCAAGCTGCGGTTTTTTTTTTACAACAACAAAAGTTATCAGATCACATAAATGGGTAAATTACAAAGTGCACACTATGTCAGTGGCGACTGTTGGGTGAAGAGTCCACCTTGAATAATGTTGTTTTTGCAGCATTCATTTGCTCAACAGGACTGTAGATTAGAGCGACACATTTAGGCCAAACGGAAGACGAGCCGAACGTTTATGAAGTTTAGACAGAGATTCCGTGGCAGTCATGTTTTAATCATAGATAGTGTTGTGTGTGTGTGTGTGTGTGTGTGGCGCTCAGCTGATTCTGCAGGCTGGATAAACGCAGGCTCGGACACCGATCTCACCAACCCACATTCGATGCAGTTGCTCCGTCGGTGTCGTTATGAAAGCTGGTGTTTCTGAAATGAGTAACTGAACAGCGGGCAGGCAACTCTACCCCACAACAGTCCCTCATTTTGGATCACATGACAAAAGATTCAAATAACTTCCACGCAGAGCTGTATACCAATTTTTAAATGTGGGGGAGAGCAGCAATCTCCACCACTAGCTGCCCTCATCCCTCCAAGTTGGATCGATGCTTTGGGGATTGAAACCACTCTGAACTTCCTCTCGTCTTAAGCAGAAGATGTGCTGCTGAGTGGTGAATCTGTGGAGCTTAACGCAGCACAGCAGAGATGCGGGTCCTGTTAACGGCACTGAGAATGTTTCCCTCTGGAGCCGTACTGTACCACAGGCAGTTTACCAGAGAATGCATTGCTTCGTATGTCATTAGGATGCTGGAGAGTGACGCTTGGAGCTGTGCAGAGTGTAGACGTAGCGCGGACGCGTGGGTCTTGAAACTTGCTCGGCGTTGGGTTGCACACTTTGTTAACCAGGTGGCTCCAAAGTAGTAAGAAAATCGATTAAAAAAAACATTTATGCGGGACGACGAGGTTAAAAAAAGCTAATTAGACAAAAGTCTCACAGAGAATCCGTGGTTGGGACAAACAGAAACGTGTAGACATATTGTAGCTGCGGAATTGATGGACACATTAGGTCCACGGTGGCAGATGGAGCCTCCTCTCAGTTCTCTTCTGGCCTCCCTCCCGCAGTGTAATTGCCTGGATCGAAGACATGCTGGAGCGTGACGTCAATGACAACAGGAAGATCGGTAACTATGGCGCCCAGCACATCCTGTCTGGCGTTCCGAGGGCCTCTGTGACCATCCTCACACACTGCAACACCGGCTCGCTGGCCACGGCTGGATACGGGACCGCTCTCGGTAAGCCTGGAGCCGCTGGTGTGAGAAGAGAGGTGCCGCCATCTTTATGGCACCAAAACTGTAATAAGGACTGTGTCTGTGCGTAGGTGTGGTGCGAAGCCTCCACGCGCTGAGCAGGCTGAAGCGCGTCTACTGCACGGAGACGAGGCCGTACAACCAGGGGTCCAGACTGACCGCTTATGAGGCTGTGGCCGAGGGAATCCCCGCCACGCTTATCACAGACAGCATGGCCGCCCTCACCATGAGAGAAATGGACATCACAGGTGTGTGTTTTCTTTCTTTATTTTATTTTTTAAGTTATTGCGATGTCTGGTCTCTTGTTCCAGACTTCCCTCTTTTATTAGCACCGACCTTCTTTGCATCGTATTCTCCCTCCCAGCTGTGGTGGTCGGTGCAGACAGGGTGGTCGCTAACGGCGACACGGCCAACAAGGTGGGCACGTACCAGCTGGCCATCGCTGCAAAGCACCATGGGATTCCCTTCTATGTGGCCGCGCCCAGCACATCGTGCGACCTGAGCCTGGAGAGCGGCAGGGACATCATCATCGAAGTGCGTCCCTCTGAGGAGCTGACCAGTATAAACGGAGTCCCCATTGCTGCCCCAGGTAAGACGTACCTGGGTTTTGTACAGCGGGGGGAAGGATTTAGGTCACCTGCAGTGTTGGTATCGGAGATAAAGAGGCTGCACATAGAAGCAACACTTCTCATATACTATCTAACGTTGTTCACGAAAACTTTTGATGTTTTGGGTGACTTTCTTTATTGGTTTGTCAGGAAATTTGCGATGCACGAGGTATGACTTAAGAACAGTTCGTAGTCAGCGTCTCAAAGTATTTCCCTGGCCACAGTTTCTAATATTGTAATACTATGAATTGTGGGTAAAAGGAATTTATACAACTGAGTTCAACTGAATTGAACCCTGTCAGCCCAGTTGACCATCCACAACGTCTACGATTGTCCACTCCTTGAGTAACGTAATTGCAGAGACAGACAGACCTCGATACGAGTACCTCGTATCATAATGTTAGTCTGCCGCATGCTGTCTTAAGTGCTACGTTGATCTAGAGCGAGCTCCGTTGTAACATGCTCATCAACAGTTAGCTCGCATTGTATGCTATGGGGACGCTAACTCACATTACGCCTGTATGCTGTCCCCCCTGCAATAAACAGGTAGAGCCAAAAAGCAAAGGCAAAAAAAATCAATGTAAAAGAAATACTAATTGTAGGTATTTCTTTTTAATTTCTTTTTAACTTTTAGCGTCCTGTTTTGAATGTCTTAGGCTCTTTCCTTATCTGATAGGTAGTTTCAAATAATCGATTTACTTGATTATGTCAAAATATATTACAATGACTTGAATACGTTTTAATTCAGTTGTATTGACAGGAATTAGTGGGTAATTCCCTTGGGCAAAGTGTGCAGAAATGCACACCTAAAGGGCTTAGAATTTCTGCCAGAACATTAAACATTTGGCTATTTGACGGTGGGTCACAACGAAACCCTCAGACTTTGCAGGAGTGCGCCTCAGCGTCAGGAGTGTGGAGGTTGGGATCGGGCCTTCATGTGTGCACATAGTTTAGTTTAGTTTGCTATCGCTGAATTGACTCATTTGATCCCTAATTGCCAGAGCAGAGAGATGCTCGGTGGCATCACAGTAATTAAAGAACACCTTTAATGAGCCCAGTGTCCCACGGAGGAGAGGAGGATGGGTGCTTGAACATTACGTTTCCCTCTCTCCTCTCACAAGCTTGTACATGGCACTTTAAAAAGGAATTTATAAAACTGACTGAGTTATTTAGACAGATCCCCACTTAATTAAAGCGTTAACAAGTGTTGCCAGTGTTGCAAAGGCCTGAAATAAGGAATGTCATTTTGATCCAATTGAATTAGCTAAATTACATAATGGTTGATTATAATAAATGGCTAAAATAACTGCGTTCAAACATGTAATAAATAAAAATTGGATGGATAAAAATGGATAAAACATTTAAATAGCCTTAAGTAACAGATAGCTGTTGAACTTGCTAGAAAAAAAACAAGATAAATGGTTACCTGAGATACCTCAAAGAAAATATAAATGGCTGAAAGAAGTCGTAGGCTGGGTTGGACTAGTCCCAAAAATGACCGCCTAACCGCTTTCCCTTAACCTCTGGAAGATGGTTAGGAGAATTCATGAGGAGTCAGGGGAAGACAACCGCGGTGTTTAGGGAATTCACTGAGTTACCTTGTGATCAGGAGACTCATGTTTGTGAAAATCAAAATTTAAATATTGCCGCCACAAGGAATCGTGGGACGGAATGATCTCCTTTCCTTTCGTAAAGAACGGTGCGGTGGTTCCTATGCGAACAGAGCTGAAGTCACTCATTTGGGAACCTGCCTGAACAAAACGGACTGTAGGTCCTTTGTGTAGCTGCAGCGGCGGTCTGTGGGTACCACTGATCTGTAACCACGCCAGTCACTCCTGACCGTTTCCCGCAGGTATCGAGGTGTGGAACCCGGCGTTCGACGTGACCCCTCACCAGCTCATCACGGGGGGCATCATCACAGAGCTGGGAGTCTTCCTCCCCTCTGAGCTGCAGGCAGCGCTCACCGGCCGCCTCACCGCCCTGTAGAGCCGCTCAGCGCCACCAGCTGGTCCGTGTGCACCACTGCACCTTAACGCCGCGCACTGAAAGACACTCTCATTTCACACACACGCACATGCACACACACACCGTCATTGTTGTGGTTTAGTTTTGGTCAAAGCACCGTCACTGTTACATGTCAGTGGTGCACACAGAAGGAGAAATGTTCTTCAGCCTGTCTCTCTCTCGCACGCACACACACACACACACGCATACATTCACTGCAGGGAGTTTTTTTGTCCCTCTTTTTTTCTGTGATCTCACCATTTCACCTTTCATTCTTCTTGCCATCCCTTTATTTTTATAAGTGGCTTCTGCACCACCTGATTGACAAAGTCAACCACAGAAATTCAATTTGGCAAAAAAAAAATATTATGAGGTCATTTTTAGTACAAACTAATACAATCCCAAATCTGTTTCTTTAATTTCAGAGTAGTGGCTTTTCATTAGCTGTGGTTTCTGAAATGCTCCTACCCACTTGTAAATATACATATTCTCGCCGGCAGTGTGTACATATGTAGAAAATTTAACCCCTGCTAGTGAAAGGTACTGCTATTTTAACCAAAAATGTGGTTGTTTGAGAATTAAATTGGACATAAAAATGTTATATTAACATTTCATTTATTTTGTTCTGCCTAGAATCTTTTTTAGAAAAATAATCCAAATTTTTAGCTCCTAAATACGTTTTCACAAACTGATCTTAGTGACATAATTAATGGTATTTTGCTCTAACTTTTTACCCCGTGCAGCAAAATTTTGAATTGACCTCGTAAATCGGTTGAAGCTTATGAAAAATACATGACTGTATTTAAAACTCCTTCCTTGTTTGTAATTTGCTACTCCCAGTTGTTCTGTATCATAACACACCTGTATTCCCATAATGTACTTGTGTGTGTATATATATATATGTAGCCATAACTATTTAGGCGCCATACAGATATAGTTCTCATTTTGCACCGGATGCTCTGTAAGGTGGGGTGTGGGTTGGGGGGGGGGGGGTTGTGTAATTTTTTGCCATAACAGCTTTTGCTGTAATCTCAGAGGTCTGTTTTGCTGTTGTATTTGTGTAAAACAGGCATCACCATTAAATGAATAGTTCACACCAAAATCAAAATGTTTGGTCATCTGCTCACTTGCATGTCAGTCGAGACTTAACTAATGTTTGTCCACAACAAATACTAGCTTATCAAGTTATTTAAGACAGCCGAGGAAAAAATAACAATATAGCAATCAAATTTCAACTAAACATCTTGATGTAGGTAGAAGCGCTGTGCTTGCCACTGAGGGTGTGTTTAACTAGGTTGGATTCAGAACAACATGTATTATTAAGCTCTATATGTTTCACGTTTTGGCTTCTTTTAATTCATCTTTGGTCTTTAACTTTACTGTTTCGACTCCCTCTCACTGCAAACCTCAACTTCTTAATCTCATGAAACGTTGTGCTAAAGCCGCTTTACCTGTTTAGCACCAAACAACTGACAGACGTAGTGAGGAGCTTCCTAGTTTTCATTCTCCTCAGGAGTTGGTGGAGACCAGATGAGAGATTGATTAACTGTAATAAATGGGTTTATGTCAGCCGATTGTTTATGAATATTACTGAAAATGAAGTATGTGGCTGTTTCCACAAGATGTATTAAATTAAGAAACCGAACACAAATGCCTTAACTTTATAGGTGGTAATATGTTAATGTTGTGTTTAAACCTTGTTGAGCTGCCTACCAGTGGCCAGAAAGTGCAATTCACAGAGACATTATGCCGGTGTTTGGAAAAACATGTCTTTATTTTGAGGTGAACTATTCCTTTACGATGATGAGTTTTTATCCACTCTGCATATCGGTGTGCAGAGAGCTCTGCAACACACACACACACACACACACACACACACAATCCGAATGTAATATTCACATCAAATTCACTTGCTTTAGATTTCAGAGACTGTCACCTGTTCAGAATGTGTTTTGACTGTTTGAATTAATCGGTAAATGGTAATCTGTTTTCCTCCAGACAGACTGGTTTAACTCTTCTATGTCCTGAAGATGGTAGAAAAACAAGTCAGTTAAATTAACAGAAATTGGAGTAGTAACTAGTAATTTACATGCTTACGCTACTTCAAAGCAAAAATGCAGCCTTACCTTATCAGGCTCACGTTGCAGTAACTTGTTCTAAAGCCTAACGTTGCCCTCATATTTAACCGTAACCGGTAGACCATTATTGTATACGGCCTATGACTGAGTTACTGCACTTTTGTCTCGTGGTTAGGGACGGCATTTGTTTATTCCCAAAGGATCCTCCTGAAATGTCTTTAAACATGTTGCTCTGTATAGGATGCACCTACCTGCTGCACTGAATGTCACAGGGCCACACTGGGAGGGGGGCCCACACTGCCCACTGCCTTAGCGGTGCACCATCAATATAAGGTGATGGGAGCATGTAGCCCCTCGGTCCTTCCTTTGCCCCGGTTGATGTTGTGTGGCCGGACCATCACAAGTCCACAGATATCGGAGAGCTTGGTCAGAGATTTGGCAACATAGCCGCCCTGACCTCAAACACTGCCCTTGTGGACTTCCTTAATTATTTTTAACAAGTGACAAATACGCTACTTTACAGGACACAGAGTTCCAGAGAAAGGACCATTTAAAAAAAGCTTAGTCAATACTAATTGCAGTGTCCATATTCTAATCGCCCTTGCTGTAAGATAAGCTTATTTCCTTCTTTGCTTTCCCTCTTCCCCCTCTTAGTCCTCTGTCCACCCATCAAAGCTCTACTCACAGAGATGCTGTTAAGTCATACAAAGGCATAATAGACATTTGTGCATTGGACTATTATTTCTTTTGTACAGTTAAAGACATCACTTTTTCGGGTGGAAACTTTAGACAATGTTCCAGGCGTATGTAGCAACTTTGTCACTGTCAGACCCGCCGGGTCTCTCTTTCATAATCTTTAAGAGGTATGATATTTTTGTTTGTCCGTACATCATGATCATAACTGTTTGGCTGTGTTTTTATTTGATTTTATGACATTGTGATTCCTAGTAACTAGGCCATTAAGTACACCACACTGGGGAGGCCTCCTCAACCATACACACTACCTCAAACACTGAAATGCATGAACAGATGCACTTAACATGCCGGGCTGCAGCAAAGCAGATTGACAGATGGTAGGAAAAAGAATCTGGAGGAAATGTCCCCATCTCACTAATGTTTGTATCTTGAACCCAAAGTGACAAATCACGTGTGGGCGATGCTTTTAGTCTGCAGGAGTAGCCTAGATTTAGGTCGATGCGAAGTATTGGGTTACTGCTGAATTATTTCTGCATTACCCTGTTTTTAAAACCATGCTTTTGAAGCAGCAGTAATAGAGTACTCTGTTTAAAAGATTTTCCACCAAACTCAGGACACCAAACACACGCCTATCAAAGGTGCCAAAATTGGGTGCTGCTTGTCACGCACTTTTCACTTGGATTTATTTCATCAAAGCAGGTGTGTGTGTGTGTTATTCTCAATGATTAGTATGGCCTGCAGTTACCATGGAAGGAGTGTTGTTCAGATGGCCTCTTTAAGTGCAAGTATGCCATTGTTGTCACTTTATCTGGCTTAATTTATTTAATGTGGAAATGGTTCCGAACTGGATTTTTTTGAAATATATATGTACATGAATACAATGCTGTAAAGTGCGGTCATGAATGATGAGATTTCTCTTTCACATCAATAAAGTAAAAAGCGTGAAACCGCAGAGAAAGGAGTTGTGTGTGTGTGACGCCGACGCGCCTGCAGGTGGCGGCCGTGAGACAACGAGGGAAGACGACCGCCATTTATAACCACGAAGAGCAAGAGCCGCCTCGTTATTTCTGGGTAGGAAAAATGGCTCAAGGCACCAAGAAGTTTAAAGCTCAGCGGCCGGGATCCACCAAAAAACACCAACAAAACAAACCGAAAGGACTGAAGAAAGGAGGTATGATGCTAACCTCGTTTCCTTCTCATTAAATGTCCAAAAGGGCGAGAAAACTGACGTGACCCGCATTGAAACGCGTTACCAAAGCCACCGGTGTTTGAATATTTACAATGTAATAACTAGGACATGACTCGATAACGTTTGTGCTCCTTGCTTCAAAATACTGTATTTGTTGTTAAGCTCAGCGACGGATTAAGCTAAAAACCTTTAAGCCACGTGAGCTGTGACGCAGGCAACGTAACCGTTTTACGTTAGTTGAATTAACGTAAAGTGACTCCGTTTAACGTTACATTCATAGTCAAAATAACTCCGACGTCACTTCATTTGTTTGCTATATTATGTACAATTGTGTTTTTCAACAGTAATGTTATTAACTGCAACCGTGAGTGCGGTGAGAAGTATTATAACGTTATTTATTACAGGCTTTCATGGCTCTGTTTAGGAAAACAAGGTATTGCCGTATAACTACAGGTACGTTAGTTGGCAGCGCAGGTACATCTAATAGCAATAACTGTTGTCAGTATATGGTGACACTTCTTTTATCTTTCATTAGTCTAATTGTTAAACTGCTGGCAATCGTATTTTCAAATTGGATAACCGATGTTTTTCTTTTTGTGAAGCGAGGACCATCGCTCCCAAGAAGGCTCAAGTTGTTGAGCAACAGAAACTGAAGAAGGTGAGGACACGTTCAACAAGATGCGTCAATTTTTGTCTCTCTCACTTTCGCATAAGCATCTCCCAGTAAGTGCGTCAGTGAGTCTGAGCGATTATCGTAATCACACATGACCGCTTTCCTCTTAAGGGTTTAGAGGTGGCCATCAGGAACAAGATTGAGCAGGACGTCACCCACAAGGCGAGCTTATGCCTCCACAAGCCGCTGAGCGTGGTCAAAGGAGCCGAGGGGAGAGGCGACCCAGAAGGAGCAGCCCATCCGGGAACCAGCTCCAAGTAGTGCTGGATAAACCGACCCGAGGATGAGCGGGCTAAACCCAGAGGGCTTACTCGCGGCTTCCGTGAACAGCAATTGTTCCTGTGAGTCATATTCAGGTTGCGTTCCGGTGCTGTTTTCAATCCCCGACGTTTCAGCGGATTTGAGGCTGGAATAGTCAGAAGACTTCTTCAGTTTCAATCATGTATATGTATAGAAATGTATAGATTGAGACAAACATTCTGGAAAGAATAGACTGGCATAAACCTCTAATAGAGGGCACTGGACATCTTTATTGACTCTCACAAGTTGTAATTTGTTTGCTTGTTTTGTTGTTGTAAAGCCGTTGATTAAAACAGGTTATTTCATTATAAAACTCAAATAATGGGAATTCGTCCGATTATTCAAACTCCCCCACAAGCCACAGACGGCTGTTATTAAACTTCTTTTGTAGAAATGTCTGTTTCCACTTTAGTGTACAAACCCGATCGTAACTCGGGCAGTGTGAGCAGGAAGCACGCTGTGTGTTACCATGGTGATGCGTCAGTCCACCCGGTGTTTGCTTTGATCTCAAGTCAAGTCGAAGCAGCTCGCTGCTGCAAGTTGTCTTGAACAAAAACCGTCTCCTGAAGTTTGAAATTTTAGCAGCAGAGAGCAAGTTTGGCCCACATCAATATGAAAGAATAGAGCGTACAATATGAATAAAAAAAGTACTTATGTCAATCAAGTAGCACACAAGTTGCCTTTTATGAGGTATTTATTTAAATCCTGCTTGGCTGTCACATGTAGCTTATGCAGTCCGCTGGTGCAATGTAGTTACATCTATACACAAGCTTCCTATTGAGGTTTCTATGGGAAAACTTCACAACAGCATGCACAAGGACAGTACTTCCATATGGAAAACCATCACAAAACTGGCTACTGGGTAAACTACCAACATGAAAAGTAGAACATATTCATCAGCACCTATTTCTAAAGCAGGTCTGTAGTGCCGAACAGTGTGTTCAGAAAGCTTTGATGGCCTCCATGCACTGAGGGGAGCGCAGGAACCTCGGGAAGGAGTCTTTGGCCATGAGGTTGTAGATTCTCTGCTGAGCGTCGTTGAATGTGTCGGCACACGGAAAGTCCGTCACGCTCAACAGAGCCTCTCGGGTCTCGGCGTCCAAGTTGACCTGAGTGGGGGGGGGAAACAGGATTTTCAGAAAAAAAGTTGTCTCTTTATCACACGTCACATGGCAAATCCTTTACACGAACCTCCTGTGGAGCATCGGGGTTGATGAACTGGCTGTAGATGCTGCTTGACTTGGTCTTCTGCAGGTTTAGGGAAGCGACCCTGTAGTCCTCACAGGCCAGCCAGAACTCAAGGTTCTCCTCACTGAACTCCGAGCGCAGGAAGTCCCGAAACGCCTGCCGACCGCCTGGGAGGTGGAGAGAAACGAAAGGGAGCCAGACGGGGGGGAAAAGATGGTTCGCCAATGAGCGGATGTATTCAACCCGGTGTACAGAATGTAGCAGTGCTCGTGTTTTTATTGTATATCAAGTCAACCTTTTATTTGCAAGAAGAACAATATGCTATTTCATTTTCTAAAAATGCACAGTGTTCAGTTCATCCAGTACTAACATTTGTTTCATCGCTTCTCTATTGTAACACTAACCACAGCAACATTCACTCCCTTAATTATTAGACTTGTGGAAGTCGACATGACGCTCCTGAGGATTAGTGTCGAATGAACACGGACATAAGTACTGAAGTACCTGCTGCGCACGCTTAACGCCGTGTTACTCTTTGGCATCGCACACAAAAGACGTTCTGAAAACAAGTATTGGGCTCTTTTTTTCACTATGGAAATTTCGACTTGTCAGAGAAGCGCGTTTTACTAATAAGATCAACGCTGGCTCTGTGCTGTTTGAGAGCCAGTGAGCCAGGATGCACAGTACCAGGGTCCTGAAGCTGGAGCAGATAAATGGATTCATTCTGACCTAAAACATAACTATTGTATGCCTCAAGGAAACAAAGAACTTGCATTAAAAGCGCTGGTAAAATCAAATTTAAAAAAAAGATTTTTACCTTTGCTGTTCAGCAGAGTTTCCAGGTCCTGAAGAGCTTTTCCATCCTGAACCCTGAGAGAGAGACAGAAATGGTCAACGTTCAGCTTCACAATGGTAACTTTTAGCAGTTAAGTGGATCCAATTCGAGTTCGAGTAGGTTTACTTTTGCTTGTGGTGAGTTTCAGCCAGATGGCTTAACTTCACCCGCATCTCTTTTGCCCTGAAACACGCAGATAGCATAATAATTAAAACAATAATAACACAAACTGCAATCGAGGAATCACTTATTCACAGGAAATGTAAGTCACTTTGGATAAAAGCGTCAGCTCAAAGACATGTGAGGTAATGTAATAATGTAATGCATACTTACTTCTCCAAGCATGATGAAGGCAGGGAGGAAAGCCCTTTACACATTGGGTTGCGTAGTTTGAGTAAACCTGCAAAGCTAAAATGAACAGGCTGAGCAGTAGTTGATCACAGGAGACAATTTTAGTCAGAGATTATCCATCAGCTTCCCAAACTACAGTGTGCTGCTCTTATATACAGTTCACCTACATCTTTATCTGTCAATCTGTCCCCTGGGACCAGCAGGTGTAGAGACGGGAGCGAATGAGAGAGCTGGCGTACGTGCTCACTGACAATGCCGGCCTTTCAACGGGAGATGGAAATAAAACCAGGGGACGTCCACCGTGTGTGTGGTCATGCCTCAGTACCTGTCTTAAAAGGTCAGTCCTGGACAAAACCGAATGGACTTTTGGAGTGTTTATCCCAAGAGGATGAGGTGGTGAGAGGGGAGCAGGTGGCCTGACCACATCACTCATCTCTGGAGAGTCAGAGGACCGTGGGATGTGGATGTGAGTGTTAAATGTTGAAGGATGCGGAGCCAAATGAGGCAAAACACCCAACAAGGTCATTGAATGCACCACCTGTGCAATAACAATACCACTAAATCTTCACCAACTTTTTCTCATTTGTTCTGAGCTGTAACTGTGGCTCTGCAGTTAATTATCTATAGATCTACAGTACCCACACATAATCTAATATCATTTAAAGAATATAAAATAGTTTATTTTAAGGGGTGTACGTCCAAATCCCTACAATGCCTCCGAGCTCATTAATGTTGCTTTTGTTCACTATACAAGCAATTGATAAAAAGCACGTAAAGGCCTCTCAGTAGCATGTTAGCATATGTTCTTTAACTTGAAGCCGTCCGCCACTCAGAAATGTGTCTTACTTGTCTGTCCATCGCTTTGACATTTGACCTTCAAAAAATGTTACACGTGTTTATTTTGTTTTCACGGTCAACTAATGAAGTTTTAATATTTTCATAGTAGGAAGGACCCAGATGTGTGTTTATTTATGGGTGTTATAAATAACAAATACCGAGAGGAGATAAAAATACAGGGAAAGTACTGCGAGTCGATGATGAACAAAGTGTCTGAAGACATTGACCAGCAGTGAGCAGCCAGTGACGCTCGCGTGCTGCCGTCCGGCCCGTCACACCCGATCTGACGGCCGTCAGCAGGCTTCCCCCCCGCGGGGGAGGAGGCTGCGTTCCTCTCGCTTCCTGCTTCTCGCTCGGAGATCTTCCAAGACGAGGCGATCGGTGGACGCGCCGATTTGAATCCGGAGGGAGCTGCTCGCTCGGTGTCGGATCCGCCGCTCCGAACTGCTCCAAACGCACCCGCAGGACGCGCCGGGTCCCCTCGGGTCCTGACTCCGGACGCCCCCCCCCCCACCCCCGCACCCCGCCATGGGCCGAGGCTTGGAGACACACACACAGTGAGTCGGTCACAAAATGGTACCGTGGGTTTTGTTCAGGATCCAGTGAAACGCGCTTCCCATTCACGTGGAAGCTAAACGGCGCGTGTTCTTCGCATCGACGTGCGTCGATCTGCGCGAGCTGCACATTATTTATAACCCGAATGTAAATCGTCGCTCCGCTGCAACGTTTCACCACCCAAGACCTTATAAAAAATGAATTTACTAGTTGGAAAACGTCTCAATGAAAAACAGTGGCTGCGAAAAATGTGTCAAAACAAGATGTAGGGGAGTGGGTGACGATACAAGATGCAAACTGACAGCATGTGGAATCTTTAAGCTCGATGTTGTTGGACAGAATTCCAGGAAAAGACGGAATAATCATTGTAAACCAGTCTTGGTGGTCTTGGTTTATGACCCATTAAATCAAAGCCATGTGACCCCTTTTCACCCGTTACATTTCTCTGCTGGCTGTGGTCCGTTCAACCAGGGAACTTTATTCTTTGTTTTATATAAATGGGCATACCCAGAAATACAGATAAATATGGTTTTATATGGAGTAATCGAATTGACGTGGGATCTGCTTGTTAATTTCGTCATCCCCCTTTGGATGTATTAGGCTGGAGGCTACATTATCCAACAGTTGCATAACTCACCTCAATCTCCAACTGAGGTTGGTTGTCAAGCTGCATTGTGGGCAATTTATGCGCCAGGTTTGGTGCAAGTAAATATTTGTAGTCTTGTTGGTGTGAGGACTGCTCTCTGTCAATCTGTGGTGAACGAGCTGATGCCGCTGTATCCCACCAGCCTACTCTGACTGGCACCAACTATGAGACCCCCTTGGACCTGGTTCCCCTCGGCACACTGCCAGGACAGCCGGGACAGCCAGGACAGCCGGGACAGCCGGGACAGCCAGGCCCGCGTTCCGGACCCGGAGAGGCAGAAGCGCTGGGCTGAGCTGTTTGACCAGCTGGACCTCAACAAAGATGGACACATTGACATCATCGAACTGCGGACAGGGCTGGCGGGGAGAGGCCTTTCAAGAGCCTCCCTGGAGAAGGTAGGACAGCGGGACACCTGTATCACACACACACACACAGACACACACACACCTGTTTGTCCCTGGAGAGGCATGTATGTGTGATGTGGGTATTACATTATGTAACTAACACAGTTTGTATCAAAGCGTTTAAATGACTCCCCAGGAACAAAATACTCCGGGTCAGTGGAGATGAAGAGGACTCAGGCGTGTTCAATGGGGGTCATTTGTCACAATATCTCCATCCGTCAATCAATAAGTGACTCATCACATGTCATTTAGCTGACGCTTTTATCCAAAGCGACTTACATTTGTTTTTTTACATTTGGCCCAGGGAGCAGTTAGGGGTATAATTATTATTATTATTATTATTGCCACCATGAAATAATGAGATGGGTCGTTTCTTTGGCATTTGTGAGTGAGACTGCATGTGTGGACCCTCTGGCCACGGCCGGTCTCGCCTGCTGCAGCACCAACCTACACATCATCTCTGGTGCTCATATATGGCTGCGTACTCAAAGACCTCATGCGCTTGCAGTGATTCATACTTTCTCACGACTCTGATACTGCACTCCACTGACGACTTTATTTCATTTTTAATCTAAGCATGAATGTAGAATGCAGCAGTGACGGTTGCAGACACACCTGGCGGAGAAGCACTCCGTGTTCATCTCTAGTTCTGTGCGCGGAGCCCACTTGGTTGTTCTGACTTGACGTATTTGTTTGTGCAACAACAGACGGCAAAGACATCAACAGCAGAACTTTATTGTGAACACAAACCGTCTGTCTCTCTCCCGTCCGTCTGTCGTTGACTGTTTGTTTTTGCAGGCAGAAGGTGTGCGAAGGGTCTTCAAGAAGAGTCACTGTCACGTCTTCTGTGTGCGTTTTTGTTGAGTGAATGTGGATGTATTGCTCATGTTGTGGGGACATAAACATCTTCACACAGCCACATTGGGGGTTATTGGACTCTCCTCCATTTTATGTGTGTGGCTGTGCATGCGAGTGCATGTGAAGGGCAGCACGATGTCTATTTTAGTACAAGGAACAGGACATGGTAAAATGAGAACGATAACCTTTCTAGAGGCCCTACACTTGATCTTTTCACATATTTCGCCTTTCTCCTGTTTTTATTTAAATAATTGTGTAATATAAAATGTTTGCCATTCAACGTTACCTGAATTCAATTAGCTCCTTTAATCCCTATTTTCTGTAAAAAAATAATTTGAACATTTTTGGTAAATCTTCACACTGGTCGAACGGACCAGTACACTTATGCAACTGGTGATGTGGGGCCACAAATAGACGTAGCTTTGCCTCCGGGGTTCATACACCTATAAGGTTAGGAAACCATTGATCTACACTTTGTTAGAGACTACATTGCAGTATATTTAGCTAGGCCCAGCGAATCCCTTGTGAACATTTTTAGCACTTTTACACTTAATTTAACTAGCGAGACCTTCAAAAACATTCTGCAAAAAATAGAAAATGCAGAGCTACGAACTGCGTGTTCAATGAGAGTAAATTATAATGATTTGTGAAGTTCAACAGAGAAATTAATTAAAATAACAAAAGAGTTAATGTAGGTCATTCCTCGTCTGCACAGCATGATGTAGCATTATTTGTCCAACAGATGGAGGAGTATTTCAAGACTATAAACATGGATGGCAATCTTGATCAAGCTTCGCAGCAGTAAAGGTCACCTCTGTTGTATTTGCGCTGATGAACTAAACAAACTTAATCACAGACTGTGTTTGCAAAAATCAGACAACAAAATATGATGATGCTGGTGTTGATGCGTTTAAATAAAAAGGGCCGATAAGTTCTCTGACCAGGGAAACATTGTCATATGAAGCTTTTTTAAAGCTGTTTTGCACTTGTCTTTACAACCATCTGGCTGACCTTTAAGTATTTAGGCCCTGACCAAACACCTCCCAAATGCTTTGTCATTGACCTGGCTCTATTTTCAGATCGTGGAGGCCGGGGACACCAACCACGATGGAGTACTGGACTTTCAAGAGTTCACCCAGTTTCTTGGCGCCCATGAAAAAGACCTCAAACTCATGTTTAGAAGCCTGGACAAGAACAATGACGGTCCGTAGCAGCCAACAGTTTACAGCGTGAATCATTATCGTTGGCGTTATTACTTCAAAACGTCCATATCTAGAGAACTATCTCTGCCATGCACTGACTTCTCTCTCTCTCTCTCTCTCACTGTGTGCGACTGGTGGATGTTTGCAGGCCAGATCGATGCAGCAGAGATCCAGCATTCTCTCCACACCATTGGTGTGGAGGTTAGCCTCGAGGATGCCACCAGGATTCTGCAAAGGTTCGCTAATAGAAGTTGATATCTAATTATACATATAAATATACATGGTCAAAGTGAGAAAATCCACAATTTATAAGATCCCAACTCTGGAAATGCATGCACATTACTGCCAATATTAAAAAGTCTGGTTTGTAATTTAAGCTTCAGTGGCTTGCGTTGTAGTTGAGAAAGTTCTTTAAATGAACAGTCATGGTAAAGTGTTTGCTTAAGTTGAGAAACCCAGTTTGTGAGCTTCAGAGCGGTGGACAGTCACACCAAAAACCAAAGCACTATTCAATCATTTTGCTGACACAATAGAAAACAACCAGTTCCACTTCTTCCTAAAGCTGATCTGTGAGTGTGCATCCTGAAATGATCCATCAATATTGCACTCTTTTGAAATGTAAAAAGTACTTGGTTACATAAATGATCCTTTCAACCCTTGTAATGCAAGTTCCAGTCCATTCCTCCTCCCGTTGAAGTAATGGCATAATTAGCCACTCCACCGAACAACATATTCCGTATTTCTGTTCCTTATGTTTTGTTGCTGAAAGCAGGTTTTTCACAACTTTCTACACATCGTACCTGAATGCTGAACTGCATTTTCTTAGAGCTCAATATTTGTCATATGTGAGTGTTGCATTTTACTTTAGTGTTTGGAAAGCAGCATCCATCCATCCATCCATTGTCAAACCGCTTATCCTGCACACAGGGTCGCGGGGGGGCTGGAGTCTATCCCAGCCAACTTCGGGCAATAGACAGGGTACATTTGTTTGTAAATTCAAATTGCGTTACTTGTTCATGTGTTGGTCCCTCAGGATGGACAAAGACGGTACCATGACTATTGACTGGAATGAGTGGCGGGACTTCTTCCTGTTCAAGCCTCTCACAAACATAGAGGACGTGGCGCGCTACTGGAAACGTTCAATGGTGAGTAGACAAGAAAATAGACTCCCATTATTTGCGGTTCTTCCTGTCGTCTACAGTGGAACACTGAACCCAGCAGACAGTTTGAGTTGCCGCAAATGACGCCTCTTTTGTTCCAAATCTTTTCTCTCTGGCTCTCTCCCCTTTTGAATCCATAATGTCCGCTCCCCATTCACTACACCACGGGTTCAGTAGATGTTGGATATAGGCGAGCAGCTGACAGTCCCGGATGATTTTACCGAGGAGGAGAAGAAGTCTGGCTATGTGTGGCGGCAGCTGATGGCCGGAGCCTTCGCTGGATCTGTGTCTCGCACTGGGACCGCCCCACTAGACCGCCTCAAAGTCTTCCGACAGGTCAGTCAGCATGATGTCGTCTCTCAGATCGTTCACACGTGAAAGTGTTGCGGCTTTGAGATGAACCTCCCTGACTCTGTTTCTACAGGTTCATGGTTTCGCTGATTTCAAAGGAAATGTGCTGAGCAGTTTTCGGTACATGCTGAAAGAAGGAGGACTGCGGTCGCTGTGGAGAGGCAATGGAATCAACGTGCTTAAAATTGCCCCGGAAACTGCTATCAAGTTTACGGCTTATGAAAAGGTAGATTACGGTCATTTGTTTGTGATTACGACGCTCTCAAATTCAGTTTCACTTCATAGTTTTCCTTTGCTCTGTAACTTCTAGATCAAGAATGTGATGCATAGCAATAACGAGACAAGAAATCTGCGGGTTCATGAGAGGTTTGTTGCCGGCTCTTTGGCTGGAGCTACAGCTCAGACCGCCATCTACCCAATGGAGGTAATATCAGGGTAATGGCTACATAAAATATATCATTCATAATACACCTTCAGTGAAATTAAATCCTCCTCCACACAGGTGCTGAAGACCCGTCTCACACTTGGGAAAACCGGGCAGTACTCAGGAATAGCAGTCTGCGCCAAACAGATCCTCCAGAGGGAAGGTATCGCAGCCTTCTACAAAGGCTATGTACCCAACCTGCTCAGTATCGTCCCTTACGCCGGCATCGACCTGGCCGTCTACGAGGTCAGAGAGACGTAAAAGCGCATCTCCTTAGTGTTTTCCTCCCTCTCACGCCCTCTATTCCACAGACTCTGAAGTTCACCTGGCTGAGCAGGAACAGAGGTTTAGCTGACCCAGGCGTCATGGTGCTGGTCGGCTGTGGTGCCGTTTCTAGCACTTGTGGACAGCTGGCGAGTTACCCGCTGGCACTGATCCGCACTCGAATGCAGGCACAAGGTCAGGATAACCGTGGTCATACTACCAAAGATAAAGATAGGGGCAAATTACAGCTTGACTGTTGAGTCTTTTTTGCGGCGTCATAATTGTTTCACACAATGAGGGCAATCCATTCATGTGTTTTCTTTTAATTTGGCATCTATCTTCGTGTACAAATGAGCATGCCAATTGTGCAACACTGCATAACACTGTAAGACCATGAATTAAAGACCCTACCAAAGATTAAGAAAATTAAAAAAGACCACAGCTTTCTTTTGACTATTGCTAAGGAATAACCTCCACACTAGATTGACTTCATACCTCCTTTGTGAGGCACTGTTTTGTATTCACTTCAACATTTTATCTTACTGACTGACATTTAGTGTATTGTAGATATGCACTGTATTTAGACTTTGCAAGACGTGGTTAAAGGTAAGTGCACCTTGGGTAAATATGTTCTTGACCAGTTACTGTTTCCAAGGTCTTTGCCTGATATGCTTTAGAAACCAAGAGCAAAACCTACATGATGATCCCTGAAATTCGTGATACAAACTTAATTAGAATCAACAGCAAACAGACGTACTGAGGTCAGGAAGAGTTCATCAGGGTCACATGGGGCGCCACACCAAAATGTTGCTCATCTGTTCCTCTCCCCTCAGCTTCAGTGAAGGGAGCCCCTAAACCCTCCATGTTGGCCTCGCTCCGCAGCATCGTGACGCAGGAGGGTGTGGCCGGACTTTATAGAGGAATTTCCCCCAACCTGCTGAAAGTCATTCCTGCTGTCAGCGTGTCCTACGTCGTCTATGAATACACAAGGATAGTCCTGGGAGTGGACATTGAGGGTAGGAGGGGCGGGGGGGAGAAGAAGGCGTAGAAAAAGGCTTGACGGTTTGGGATGGATTTCAACTACGAGCACGTAGAGATCCTTTGGCAATGCATGTAGACACAGGCCTTAACCGTGGATACAAGTTGTTGTCCTGTGATCACTGGTCAGGAGTGTTCAGGATGATGATAGAATGAGAAAAAAAAAACATTGCAGGAAAAGTTAAAAAACAGATCACCACTAAATAAAATGTTGTTACGCCTCACGTTTGGAGGACCTCACCTGAACCTGCAGTTGCTGTGATGAACTTACCTGTGTGATATAATGCATTGCAGTGCATGCAGGTGTGTGAAAGCTAATCCTCCCGCCTCCTGCTGCTGCATTGACTTGTATAGATGAGGACCTGCATGAACTTGCCTGACAACAAAGAGGTAAAGGAGGCCACGTTACATTCCTACAGCATTATTTTTGTCTTCTAGGTGGTATATAGAGAAGATACAGGATTAATGGGAGGACTGATGCAACTTCCTGTTTTGTACGTGAGGGGAACCTGAAGTTGCTGCACTGTGGTGGAGTTGCAGAGTTCCGACGTCTTAAACAAATGTTACAAATACAGAACTACAGAAATAATTGTAAAATAACAAAAAATTCTGCTCTTACCTCTCAAATGACGACTGAAACACAGAATTGTGAAAACAGAAAGGGATGCCGTCAATCTTGTCTTTCCTGTGAGGATTGCTTTTGAAAAAAGAACACGGAAGGACTATATTTTTCCCAGGAGTGGAACCACCAAAGCCATATCAAGGAGCATAGGGGATTCGTAGTTACTTCTCTAGCCAAATGCAGATGTTTTATAAATGCTTGAAACACAATACGGGGTCCAGGTCCACATAGATTTTCAGAAAGTATGTGTGCACAATATGCAGGTTCAACACTAAGATAAAGTGTTTGTGATGTCCATATCATATCATAACAATAACAAAAGAGAATTCATAAATATGAACATTTTTATGGGTCTGTATCTATTATGAAATGTGCAAAGAAGTGCATGCATGGAGTTGCTTTTGTTAAATACATTTTGTTGCATTGTTTTTTTCTTGAAGAACTGAAATGTTGGGTCGTGGTAACTTTCTGTAGACATCACCATCCCTTTTCTGCACTAATAGTTACCAATGTGTCCTTGTTAAAACCTCCTATTCCTAGCTGCTGTCACATTCAATATGGGTTCCCTGAGTAGCTTTGGTTGTGCATATCAATAATAATTATACAATAAAATGCAACTATAATGTAAAAAAGTACATTAAGTTTGACCCCACGGTTTCTCAACAAATTGATGACATTTTTTTGGTGAGTCTTTTCCAAATAATTTACTAGTATCAGATATGTAATTGGATTTGGATGGAAGGACAAATGGCTTATTTAAGTGAATCATGTTGACTTTTGATACTAACTTTCCTTGCAGGGACGCATATCATTTTTGCTGTTATTAAAAACACAACGCAGTGACTCAGGTAATGTATCTGCTGTCTTTGTATTTATTCGTAGGAGTGCACGTTTGATTTCCCAATCCCAGTATTTGATAAAATATAATTAATGTAATAATTAATAATAAAAAAATTGGGTGTAAATGCAAACTGGCTTGATTCAAGTAGGCAATTAAGAACTGAAAATGGCCTTCAAGGCCTTTTCCTGGAGCGTGTCTGACCTACACTCCCCCGGCAGCCCGGGAGGTGGCGGTATCTGCGCTATAAAAGGTTGGGCATCAACACCTAAAAGAATGAGGAAGAAGAAGGAGGACGCGGGGGTTGAAAGAATCGTTGATTGGCTATTTTAAGCAGGGAAGTTTGCCGGCGTGGTAGGCTTTATCACGACACGCACATTGGTGGCTCCGTACGCTCTCGTTTAGCCTTCCCGCTTCTGCGCAGCTTGACCCGGCCGAAGCTACACAGCCTGCCCCCTGTGTCTATTTGCCCCTTGTGAGCAGCATGTCTGATTACGGCGGTCTGCCGACTAACGGAGTCGGCGCTGGGATGAAAAACGACGCTTTTGCTGATGCAGTACAACGAGCCAGACAGGTAATCGAGTGCTCCGCTACCGGAGAATACAGCCGGCGAGCTAACGTTGGTTAGCTGGTGGGAAAGCGCAGCTAGCTTAATTACCCGTGACGTTAGCTGCTGGTAACTAGCAAGCGAGCTAGCTAGTAGCTTTGCCATTCATTTGTCTTCCAGTCGCCAGGTTGTGCAACGTTAGTCAGTTGAAATGTTAGCGGGGTGGACTGAGCAGCGGCAACAACGTAGGTTACTCTTTAATGTTATTACGTTAGCTAACGAAATGAAACCACTCGTCGCCACCGGGATCGTTTTGGTGAAGTTACACGGACTAACGTTAGCTGCTTGAGCTAAGTTAGCTCGGTTAGTTATTGTTGTTAACGGTAAGCTGATCATGAAGTTTCAGCCTCGTCCATGTGTAAAACGCCATTTTAGAAGAATTGAGCAATTAACAACGTTATCACTGCTGAACGATTGTTAGGAATTAAGATCGCCCGACCGCCTCGTTGCGTTGTATTGATAACCAGCATTAGCTGGACAAAATTATGTTGGGTTAAAAGGTTATTCGGTGACTCAAATTTCGGTAACATTACTCATCGGATATGTGCTTCGCGGTAAGGGTGTGAAGCTAACGTTAACGTTACCTTTCGGCTGTGCGTGGTTTTCGTTTGGGTTGCTAATAGTGATCAGCGTTGAACGCATTATTTAATCGATTAATTTATCGAGCAATTTTGTTCAATTAATCAGAACATCCCCAAACACATCTATTAGCAAGTAGCACCCACTGAAAAGTGTAACATGTATTATTTAGCAGGCTACATGACCAAATATCAAAATTAGGATTCTATAGTGGTAATTTTAAATAATAAGTATCAATTGTGTCCGCGTGCCGCGAAGCCGCTTTTGGTATGTTTTATCGAATTTTATTCGATCTGTTTTTAACTTCGGTTAAAAATTGGAAACGTTGCAAATCATTTTTAGTTTAGGCACTTACGGTACGGATTTCAAACCTAGAGGTTAAAGAGACGAAACCGACAGGGATACAAAACAGACAAGGGTACCCTAACTTTTCCACCGTAGTAATAATCGAGCAGCCAGAAGGCCTGATCCTACACTTCCCACAATGCATCTCACTGTCCTTCCTTCCTGTCAAATGTGTAAGTCTGTTCAGATGCAAAGCCCGTCTGTCCCCATGTTGTAGTCTCCAAACCCAGATAACCGTATAGTGTCCCGTGTGAGGACGTTTATGCGTAGTGCTGCTTTAAATGGCATTCTTTATATTCACAATTTCATGATGTGTTGGCGATTCTTCATCTAGTGTTTGTCTTTCTAGATTGCAGCTAAAATCGGTGGAGACGGTGTTTCTTCAGTGAGCAACAACGGTGGAGGAGCTGAGAACTATCCATTCCCAGCACAGAAAAGATCCCTGGAAGAAGCAGGTGACAAATCCGTGCAAAGGGGCAGTTAGTCTGCATCTTTTAGTCTACATTGTAGATTCACACTTTCTTTTGTTTTCAGATGAACCAGATGCCAAGAAGGTAGCATCACAGAGTGAAATTGATTCTGCCTTGTGTACGTTAAATCACTAATTGATCTTATTACACACTTTCTTGGTTCAGTTTCCAATTGCTCACTACAATTTCTTTCTCTGACAGCTATCGGAGCTCAGCTGGCAGCCCTGTCCCAACAAAGGTATGGACACTGTTGGTCTATCCTGTATTCTAACACTTTCGGCCATTTTTTGTTTGTTGTATATAACTTGACTGAATCCTTCATTGTTTTTCCTGACTTGTCTACAGTGTCAGACCCTCCACGATGACGGAAGAGTTCAGGGTGCCTGATGGCATGGTCGGTCTCAGTAAGTACATGCACATAGTTTTCCTTCACCATGGACATGACGTTGTGTAATGTGTTCCAACTAAAATCTTTGCTGTTGTTCCAAAAGTCATAGGCAGAGGAGGTGAACAAATTAACAAAATACAGCAAGATTCTGGCTGCAAGGTCCAGATTGCGCACGGTAAGTGATGAGTGAGATTTACTAAGTTGACAAGTAAAAAAAAAAAGTAACTTTTCTTGCATTGATAAATTTTTTTTCACTTTCATTAACAGACAGCGCTGGCCTTCCAGACAGAACGGTTTCTCTGACTGGATCACCAGATGCCATACAGTAAGTTTTGGGTTTTCTGATCATGCATTTTTCTCAGTTGACAATGCATCTCTCCTACTCAAAGACAATGGTTTTTGGGGCGTTTTTCCTTTACAAAGGTCGCCAATGTTTTTGTTAAAGTAGCGAGATAATCACCTTAAACTTTTTAACTTGAATCAGAATACCTTTTTTATGACCATTCCCCAATATTGGTTACCAGCCTGAGTGGGTCACATCAGGTCACAGATGTTCCTGTTAAATGGAAAAAGCCTATTGATGAGTATCAATAACTTCTCTTAGCTTTAAACAAGTTTAATTTTTCAGCTTTTTTTTTTCATGGGAGATGCAAATCCTTCCCCATATATTCAACAGAACTGTCTGATTTAACCCCTTTGATGCTGATCATTCTATCAAATAATCTGGACATGTTGGTCTTATCTGTAGAAATGTGTACGAAATGCATAATTTATCAAAAGTAATTACATTTTTCATAGTTTGTTTACTGTAAAATTGCTGATTGCATTCACTTCATTTTAGTCTGGTGTTTTAGTATTTTAGTCTATTTTTAAGTGGCAAAAAAAACCCTGTATGAACTTTCTTGGCCGAAAGAGCTTAGACAGCCAAAGAACTCATTCCCCCCACATTCAAAAACAAGCGCTTGTACAGGACAGTTTGTACTTTATTTTTGTGATGTATCACTTTAACGTCCCTCATAGAACAGGCCATGAGTTTCTTTGATAGATAGCCCACTCCTTCAGTTTCCTCACTCGTTTTTTCTTTTTTTTTTCATCTTTCTCCAGGAGAGCAAAGGCCCTCATTGATGACATAGTTTCAAGGGGTCATGAGACGCCTAATGGGCAGTCAGGTTCCATGCAGGAAATGATCATCCCCGCGGGCAAGGCCGGCCTCATCATAGGCAAAGGAGGAGAGACCATCAAACAGCTACAGGTGAGAATCACACGGCACCTTTTATAAAACTGAAAATTGCTTCTATTGTACAAATACTGGGAATAATTTATGGGGATCAAAACTAGAATAAATTGTGTGACATGTTCATGTTGGTTTATTTTCCCTGTGTGCTTAATGAAATATTCTCCTGCAAAATCTCAGGAGAGGGCTGGAGTCAAAATGATTCTCATTCAAGATGGATCCCAGCCACCCAACATAGATAAACCCCTACGCATCATTGGAGACCCCTACAAAGTGCAGGTACTTAAGCACAGTGAAGCTATTTTTGGCTTCGCAAGAGATGTTTTAAGTTACCTTTTCTAATGATTATCTTCTGTTGCCCTTTTAGCAAGCAAAGGATATGGTTAATGAGATTCTACGAGACCGGGATCATGCAGGCTTTGGAGACCGGAGTGAGTACGGGTCAAGGATGGGAGGCGGAGGAGGAGGTGGCGGCGGAGGCGGCGGCTTAGGAGGAGATGGTGGTGGCGGCATTGATGTAAGTGGTTGTTTCATTTAGTCATGTCTTTTTGGGTATTTAACACTGCAGAGATCTAATGTCATTAACATAACTAAATGACTGTAAATATATGTGAATGCATGTTTAATTTAATTTTTAAATGTTGTAGATCGCTGTTCCCCGTCACTCTGTTGGAGTTGTAATTGGCCGAAGTGGAGAAATGATCAAGAAGATCCAGAGCGACGCTGGTGTAAAGATACAGTTTAAACCAGGTGAAGGATTAAACTCCACCCCATTTTCTTATATTGAACATTTAATTTGACTCCTGATCTCTCCTTTAGCCTGCTAAGAGTTGTGTTTATGTTGATGCATGGGTTGATAAATATTATCTAGTGAATCCAAAAAACAAAGTACGTTGTAAATGTCCGATTTATGGACGGCGTGAAACAATCTTTGCAGGAGATCACATCTGCATAAATATGAATCTGTCAAATTCCCAACTGAACTTATATTTTCTTGTACTCTATTTGGCCTAACGGACATATTTTTGGCTAGGTCATTATTTTTGTTTCAACTGCCCTTTTGTCATCACTCACAGATGATGGTACAGGGCCTGAAAAGATAGCCCATATTATGGGTCCACCAGACCAGTGTCAGCATGCTGCGTCAATCATCACAGACCTGCTGCAGAGCATCCGTGCGCGAGAAGAGGGCGGGCAGGGGGTAGGTGTTCTTAATTCTATAAGTGTTGATCTTTCTCTTTGTGCTGGTGCTTTGCTAGGAACAGTCAAAGCTAATATGCGGCCTGTTTCTTCTACAGGGACCGCAAGGTGGAGGGATGTCCCCTGGTGGGCGGGGACGAGGTAGAGGCCAGGGGAGCTGGGGTCCTCCGGGAGGAGAGATGACCTTCTCCATTC